TGAAAGATGCGTATTTTCACATCCCAGTATATTACCCACACAGGAAATATCTGAGATTCGCATTTCAGGGGATCTGTTATGAATACAGAGTACTCCCCTTCGGTCTGTCTCGTGTCCAAGGGTGTTTGTACGATGTACGGAAGCCGCGATAGCCCCGTTAAGACAACAGGGTATTCGCCTGGCGACCTACCTGGACGACTGGCTGCTTCTCGCACAGTCGGAGCAGGAGGCTGTTACGCAGACAAATGTCCTCGTAAAGCACCTGCTCAACCTGGGTTTCATAATAAACACAGAAAAGAGCATGTTGTGCCCCGCGCAGACTATACTCTTCCTGGGTTTACGCCTGAACTCGGTGCCCTTTTCAGCTCGCTTGTCAGCGGATAGAGTGAAAGCTTTCAGAGCTTGTCTCGCTCTTTTCCAGCTACGCAAACATGTTCTCTTCAGATCATGCCTGCGATTGCTGGGGCTCATGGCGTCAGCCATCCTGGTCGTACGACTGGGACCCTTACACATGAGGGAGTTTCAGCGTGATGGTTACTGTGAAATGCGTAATGGCACTGCGCCACTGGCTGCACCCGACTTTTCTAGTACGAGGTGTGCCTATGGGTGCTGTCCTTTCACGGAAAGTGGTCACCACGGACGCATGTCTGACAGGTTGGGGAGGTATTTATGAAGGTCGCCCGGTGAGGGGTCTCTGGAGCAGAGACCTCCAGCGGGCGCACATAAATTACCTGGAGCTTTTAGCGGTGTTTCTCACCCTAAAACGCTTTCTGCCTTTCCTCAGGGGACATCACGTCCTTGTGAGGACAGACAATACGACCACAATATCGTATATTAACCGCCAAGGGGGTTTGCGTTCTCTCCAGTTACACACACTGGCGCGCAAACTGATCCTATGGAGCGGTAGACGTCTCCTCTCTCTGAGAGCGACGCACGTACCGGGAGTGATGAACCTCGGGGCAGATCTACTGTCCAGAGGTATACCACTTTATGCAGACTGGACTCTACATCCAAGGATTGTGAGCCAGCTGTGGGTGCGTTACGGCAGAGCCGCGGTGGATCTGTTCGCATCGAAAGACAACGCTCAGTGTCAGCTGTTCTTTTCGATGCGCGATCTAAACGCACCGTTAGGCGTGGATGCACTCGCGCACGATTGGCCCCCGGGCCTTCTGTACGCGTTCCCACCCCTGGCTCTGATACCCCCAACTCTGGCCAGAGTGAGAGAGCAACGCCACACACTTATCCTGATAGCTCCGCACTGGCCAGCTATGTACTGGCTAGCGGAGATATATCAGCTGCTGTGCGGGCAGCCATGGCAGCTCCCACTACGCAGGGACATACTGTCCCAAGCGGGGGGGGGCGATCTTTCACCCACACCCAGAGCGCTTGGCTCTATGGGCCTGGCCCGTGAGTGGTACAATCTGAATACAGTGTGACATGAAGCTGACCCTGGCAGCTGCCAAGCGAGCCAGTGGCACTCATGCGCTATCTGTACAGTCTTCATGCACTCAGTTCGCCCCAGGGCAAACAGAGTGTGGTTGAAGCCCAACCCTGCCTTTATCTTAAGGCGGTTGGTTCAGGTACCACATTTGACATTGAGGCATCCTCCCCGCCACTGTATTCCTCCGGGGAACAGCGGCCGGATTTGCCGTGTCTAGCCCGTGCTGTACGCACGTACAGGGACAGATCAAGGGTGCTTCGTCATAATGACCAACCCCTTGTGTCCTGGGCTAACCCTTATAAGGGCAAGCCTGTTACTAAGCAACGGCTCTCCCACTGGTTTGTGGAAGCAATTGCTTTGGGGCCCATACGAGTCAGAGTTCGCAGGCACCCTCGGGTCCGTGAGCTCTTTCGACACAGGGTCTGGCTGCATCCTGGGCTCTGTCCAGGATGTCTCCCATCCAAGACATTGGTGCAGCGGCGAGCTGGTCCTCGCCGCTCACTTTTGTCCGCCTCTTAACAGGCTGGACGTTCTGCTCCCAGTGTGACTCAAGCAGTGCTGGGCACCTGGTTGAGTCAGAGCTCTACCTGTTAAGTTCTGGTTGGTTTGGTGATTTTCGAGATAAGCTCGTCTGACAATACGGGAGCTACAATTTCCCATAGTGAGACATCGAACGGAGTGTTATGAATGAGAACTATAGGTTACTTACGTAACCGACTGACGGACAACTTCTCACTTTAAAAAAGAAGAAGAAATCTAGACGCAAAATAATTAAACAAGCGAGCGCGTTTTTCCTGACCAAGGACAGGTTCCTTGAACACAACACGAGCGTAATGTGTCTTCACTTGGTTTATGTCTCGTCTGAAAGGAGTGTAGAGTAGAGTGCTGACGGAGAGCACCGGAACGTCGCTCCAGCTCTTCAAATATTGCAGTACCCATAAGGAGCCGTACACACCGCAGTGTTTGCGTGGCTGTGTCTTTAGTTGTAAGCACAGTGGCGATCTGTTGTTATTAGCATCTGGTTAGCTACCTATGCTAACGAATTTAAAAAGCTTTTCTACAACCAGGTGGAAGAGAACTCTCCTGAGAGGCTCAAATAACCTCAGCTCAGTGAGGTTAAGGCACACCTTGATATGATCATTATAGTTATTAATGAGACATTAGAGACTAAATGAAAAACTGGTATAAAATACTATATGACAGTAACAAAAAGTTGTTAAAAATAACAAGAATAGAGTTTAAAAGGAGAGTGATTGGTACAATATCCAAAAAGAAGAATCTGCTTACAGTTCTGTTTCATATGGGTGTTGAGATGTATCCATAGATCTCCTAATGTTGCTCTCAAAGTGCACCAGATTGATGCTTTTAACTTCAAAAGGGCATGCCCCCGGACCCCCCTAGAGGAGGTTAGGTCCCGCCCCACTTAAATCATGTTCAAATGGATAGGATACTAAATACATTTGCACACATCTTGTGTCCATATCTTTCTGCCACAACCGTGCACGTGCATGCATGGTAAGATATCTGGTTACAGAGGTTGCTTTTTCTTTGCACAGCATGAATGAAAGGCCAAATGAATGGGCTGTGATTTTAGTTTTTTTAAGAGGATGTTGTAAAAATTGAAAGGAAAAAGGTTCCCCACCCCTGCTGTAAATAATAATAAAAACCCTTGATTTATAACTTAACATCTCTGTCTCCTATTGATCTGAGTATATTATAAAGAACAGCCAGTTCATTGAAGCATTATAGCGCAGGCCTTTGTCAGATGGTATATTACGCTGTTTTTTTCCTGCTTCGAATAGTTCTCTCTTTTTTCACCATACCTGTGTTGGCATCACTGTATTTGAAACATGGGCCACATCTAAAAAAACAGCTGTCCTGTTACCGAGATGAGAGCCAGGGGAGAGCAGAGAATAAAAAAGAGAGATATATTATCCACAGTTAAAATGAACATTTGTATTTGAATGCTGGTAAAAGTGAAATGTAGAGATGAGATTCTATACATTTATAAAAACACAATTACTCTTACAATAACTAGTGGACTTAAATGACATTTTAATGCCTTGAATGGAGATGGTGTAAAAGCCTTTTTTCAGGACCTGCTAAGTAACACTGCAGGAGACTAAGAAGGGATACAGTCAAATAAATGAGCGGGGGGGATAAAGGGAGACAAAAAGAAGGAAAAGCTGTGAGTCTGAATGAAGCGTTGAAAGGGAAAATAAAGAAAGGGAGGAAAAGAAGGGAAATAAACGGATTGAGAGAGCAGAGGTGTGCTCTGTATAGAAAATGGACGTATCCAGCTGTCCCTCCCATCCAGCTCTACCCAGAAACCCTTCAATCAAACAACCACGATCAAGCCTGACCACTGTAGCATCCCCAGGCCGCTTTCATTCGCTCTCATTCATTCATTCATTCATTCATCCATTTTTCCTCTCCTCCGGTGCTTTAAGCCTACCAATTATCATCAGTTGCCCCCAGACGGCCTCTGTCCTTGTTCCTGTTTCAGCTGGCCTTTCAAATAGCCCCTGCATTAATAAGCCAGTTGTTACAAATAAAAAAGGGAGGTGAGCGGTGATTATTCAAAGCCCTCCTAAAAGAGAGAGAGGAAGCCCTCGTTTCACACCCAGGGAGAGTAAATGCACCGCCTGCCATTTATGGGGCAGTACAAGAGCCTGGTATGGAAACTAACAGTCATTATAATAAAGAGAGAGAGGCTGTAATGGCTCAGGACATTCAAATGGTCTAACTATAAAACCCACAGAATCCCTGACCGACAGGAATAGGTACATGTATTTTCAAAGAGGAAGCATTTTTCTGTTCAACAGGGTACAAATAATAATAAAGCACTTCAACCCAATTAAATGTTGTCAATGTAACAAAAACGACAAAGAGGTTGACAAAAGGGAATTTGTTTTCCTTCTGTATTCATCCGCTGAAGAGGGACGTTGCTTTGAGTTTAACACCTGGACACAGCAGGGTTTTTCGGCTGATTTCGGAGCCAATCGTGGTTTGTTATGCAAAAGGTGTACCTGCACTAAGAATAGATCTACAGTTAGAAAACAAGCCCAGGTTGAAAAAGTATCTATATACTATTACGGCCCGTCCACACAGCGGCGTGCGTTGCAGCTTCAACGCTTCTGCCCATTCACTTTGCATTGTGGGAGCGAAGCGTAGATTTGCTCGTGACGAAAGTTGAGCAATGTTCAACTTTTGAAGCTTCGACGGAAGCGTCAGCCAATCGAATCATATGCCAGTACAAGCTCTAGCCAATCAAACCGCTGCTTGTGTGTCCGGGGCGGGAGATTCATGTGATTGGTTGTTGGTCGAGTTTCAGACACGCCCTCCGGCAAGCTTCAACGCACGCCGCCGTGTGAACGGGCCGTTACTGGGGAGCCAGTTAGGTAATGAGTCTCAAGGATTGTCTGTTGACATTTTTAACCTTTTTGGGTAAAATTGTGTCGGAAGCAAAGGACTAAAAGAACAACCTCATTAGGCTAAAAGAAAAGAGGAAAATAGAGAAGTGTTAACTTTTCATACAGTCTGTGTGTGGATCATGTACCTGCACACCTGAAGCCCTGAGCAGTCAGGCCCTTCTCCACAGCCAGACAGGTCAGGATACTGAGGAAGCTGGTGGTGACGGACTGCCTCTTGGCTCTCTGGGCCTCCCGCTGTCTCCGCTCCCTGGTTGGTTTCGATCTCAGCAGAACTCCCTGGAGGGCTGGAGCTCCTTCTCCTGATTCTCCCCCTTCCTCCTGGGCAGGCCTCTGCACTCCCACCGCCTCCCGCAGGGCCTCCACCCACTCCTGGGCCTTGGACTGATCATCCGCCTGAAGCCTGAGTACGTCTTTTGGGAAAACTACCTGGAAGCGGCCCCCTCTGTCTGTCCACGGCTCTCCGTTCTCTGGCTCCTGGTCGTTCTGCACAGCCAAGCAGGAGGACAGCGTGTACTGGAGGACAGGCTTGGACACAGACCCTCGGCCCTCGGTAGGGAAAGCCCTGAGCGTGGATCTGGTCAGGACGAAGGTGAAGGCTCTCCAGTTGTTCTGATCCATCAGCTTGTGGAGCAGGCCAGATTTGAGGACATCCTGGCAGCGTTGGGTGAACAGAGGCAGGGTGGTGGGTCTGCTCGGGACAGTAGACTCGAGAGATGAGGAGGGGGTGTCGCTGTCTCCGTCAGGCCTGGTGTCGAGCCCTGACGACGAGGACGGTGACATGGGTGCAGAAAACTTGACGACCTGTTGCTTCTCCGCTGCGCTCTTACGCTGGTGGTTCTCCTTCCTCACGGGTCGGACCGCCTGCACCCTGTCCCACATCAGCCGTCTCCACTCCACGGCCTCCCATTGGCTGGCTGCCCTCAGCTGGAGACGCGTGCTGTTGAAGAACAAAGCCTGGAGCGTGCGAGGGTCTGCGGGCTGGGGGATCTGCCCGGCCACGCTGCAGGGTGCCGGGGAGATTATGCTCTGGCAGTGGGACAGAGAGCAGGCGGTGCCCAGCTGGCGGTTGGCGCTGCTGTCCAGGGTGTAGATCCGCAGCTCGCAGGGCGTCAGCTCCACATGGCAGCGCGTCCAGCGACCCCGCGGACCCTCACGCTGCTCCATCTCCCCCTGCTTCACCACTTTGCTGCTGCTGCTGCTTTTATCAGCTGCACAGAGGTGAGGGGGAAGAAACAGAAAAAGGGGGTAATAAGACACAGAAGAAAATTGTGTTTGTTCAAGATGACCACAAAATGGATAACAGGATAATAGTTTTGCCACTGGCCAAGAAGGAGCCAGGTGAGATACTATTATATCTTGCTATACTGTCGTAACTTCGCACTGGAAGTGCATATTTAGCAAGGAAGACCAGTTAGTGCATTACATTACATTACATTACATTACATTACATTGCATTTAGCTGACGCTTTTATCCAAAGCGACTTACAATAAGGGCACACAATGTATATCTTGTTTTTCATTACGGCACATATGTTATTCCAATTCTATTCTGCTCAAATATACTGCTATATCTTTTAATGTTATTATAGTTTTCTATCTGTGTTTTTAATTTTTGTTTTATTTGTATGTTTATGCATGCACCACAACATCAAATTCCTTGTATGTGTTAACCTACCTGGTATCAAACCTGATTCTGATTACAAGCTTTTTACAAATACTCTTAAAGGTTTGTTTCCATCTAGGATGTGAATAGTTTTTGGGTAACTATTGTTTTCTCATCCACATTAAAATAAAATTGGTTAAATAAGCCACTCAAGAAATATATTTGATAGCGTAGAAGACACTTCCCTATAAACTAAGATAATGGTTAAGTGTCTCTCCTACAATTTCCATCAGGAGTTGTAGTTACTTTGTTTGTCTAAAAGACTCTTTGGTTATGTTGACACGGCTTGTAGAGTAACACCGTATGCTGCTCGTGATTCTGGAGCCCAGTCTATTTACTGCCAGCTTTGCACTTATGACCATGACTCCCCTGGCACCTGAAGGCATCATGACCCAGAGTCAGGACCCAGAGAGACTACAACATGGGCAAAGGTTCACAAGTCTCACAAAACTGTCCTGTAAATCCAACAAATCACAGCCAGAACTTTTGAAGAGGGATATTGGTTTTAGCTGAAAATACGTTTGTATACGATGGAGTCTGGAGTATCTATAGCTTGAACTCAAGTACCTAATTAGGTTACTGTGGATTATGAGACAGCAAGATTGAAACCATAACAGTGAAAGGCATCTTTTGTCCTAGTTTGCCTTTGCAGCTTTTTCCACTCAGCATCCCTAAATCCTCAGGCGTCTGATGGATATCTGTCTAGATGGGCCAGCTTCCTACACAAGGGTCTTTATCTGAAGCTTGCGCCTCGGACAGAGCGTTGGTATTATGGTAAGAGATAGCGGCGTGCTGGTGATTCTCTGAGAACATTTCTTGTCGCCAAGGCAGGAAGAAGCAGTATTGTTAAGGCAAACTGTCCCATTGTCTTAATCTAGAGGCACACCCTCTCACCAGTTTGTTCTTTTCTCTCCTTCTTTCCATAGTTTGCTGTTCAGGAGGTTTGTTTTACTCTCATTTATGTATTTCCTCTCTCTGTATACTCTTGTGATTGTGGGGTGTTTTCTCTCTGATTAAGGAGGCTTCAGACAACAGCCGGGACCTCTGCTAGGACATTAAACCACACTGTACTACTAAGCTCTGCTGCATCCACTGGCCTGCTCAAAATGATGCTTGTAAAACTGGACAAATGCCAGTAGAGATGTAATTAACAATTATTTAATTATCGATTGATCTGCAGGAACGTTTGTAGATGCATTTGGCCTATGAAATGTCAAAAAAGTGGAAATATCCTGTGATTACTGATAATGATTTAATCTAAAGATCTATCACATTTAGATATAGATATTTCACATTCTATCTATCAACTTTACATCAGTGTACCCCTCACCCTGTAAATATTAAATAATACACTTTGCAATTGACTTCAAATCCATAATCTAAATCAATTCTACATAATAATGCAACCTATAGAACTTGTATTTGTGTAACTTGCTTTTGCATATCCTCCATCATATTTGCCTAGTTATACTGTATACCAGGGGTATTCAACTCAAATTCAACGAGGTCCAGTTAGAGAAAATGTCCCCATGCAAAGGTCCGGAACATCAAAATATCTAACTTGCTTTATAAATTTGTGTGATATATATTGAAGTAGCTGTAGCTTTATCAACGTCTGCATGTAATCAACAACTGACTGCCAATCAAATAAAGAAAGTACAATTCAAAAACAACAATATTTATTGTCAATTAACATTGAACTATACAGATATACAGTAAAATACTGTGGATATGTGTAATGTTCCTCTCGGGCTGCATTTACAAATAAAATAAATAAAATAGCTTTTGAAAATATGTGCATCTCAAAAGTGCTTAATTTTAGATAAATAAAATAAAGTGGAGCAGCAGCTTGAGTTTCCCTTTTTCTTTGTTAACCGTTTCACATCATGACTTAACTGTTTCAGACGATTATGGAACAATATCAGTCTTTACACATCATAACAATTTAACAGTTTTAAAGTTTCTCTTTCTTTCCCCCTTATATTGCAGTCCCTCACTCACTTTTTTTTTAATTCAGTGCGAGAATAGAGCTTGAGCTTGTCCTGCCAGGAGTTTGTACATCTGGGCTGAAATGGTGTCAGGGCCATTCTCATACACATGCAGGTGCTCATTGGTTAGCCTCGGTTAGCCTGCCCTGGAACGATATTTCGTTTTAATTTTGATCCTGGTGGACTGATCATATTGGGCTCTGAGACTGCTTATTTCTTGTGAACTCAGTTCTGACTTGAGAGGGAATGTTTGGTCAAACACTTTGTGTTTTGTCTCATCATACATCATATCTTTTAATGAGCGCCACGGTCTCTGAACAAATGAGACACACTGGTTCTGTGATCCCAGTGGGCAGGATGAACATGAATGAGTCCACTCAGGGTTAAAAGCTCGGTTCTCACTGTCCACTTTCCTCTTCTTGGACAGCGCCATGTGTAATTATGTGTCTCTCCCTGTCTGCCGCTAACACGCCTGTTCACTAGTGATGGCAGTTTGACACTGAAGCTTCGAACGGAGCTTCAACCCTGGACTTCCTATTCCATAGAAGCAGTGCTTCGAAGCTTGCTTCAGATCACGTGGCATGTGACGTCCGAAGCAGCAACTGCTTCATTTCCTGAATGAATCACTTGACTGGTTCGCGGTCCATTCACGCGATTCAATGCACTGCCTCGTCTCGATTCTGACAGGTTGAAACAGTTTCAAATTTGAGCGCTTCAACACTTTATGACCGCTCTAAACAATGCGCAATGTGTGGGTTGTTGTCGTAGTTTGCGTTGTTGCTGTTGAGTTGTTGTTGTTATTGCATTTGATATCATTATAGAGCAAGCCAGGAAGAAAGATAGGTCATTCTGGCTCGGGAAACACTTCTGAACAAAAAGACAATTATCAGTAATATAAAAACAGTTCAATATTTTAAGGAATAGATAGCCCAGTGGATAGAGCTGGCGGCCCGAATACGGCGATATCCTCCGCGCAGCTGGTTCAAAGCCCGGAATGGATGAACTTTTAATCATTGCTTTTCAACTTTAATACTTTAAGAACTGATAAAAGGCCCTCACCACCCAAAAAAATGTCCAGCACTCTCTAGTCTTTTCTCAATAACCCAATTATCAATCTTTAATTGCAAATAGAACATGATATTCAGTTTTAGTGTGTGTGTGCATCGAATATTTTTCAAGGCAAAGATACGTTAAATCCACTGCAGCCTTGCACTTCGCCAGGAGAGGTCGCTGTAACTGAAGCTTCGAGAAATGAACCTATTTCCGACACAATTGTCCAAGTGGTTCGATGCTTAATTCAAAGCTTCATTTTGCCATCACTACTGTTCACTCTCCTCTCCGTCTTCTCTCCCTGTATCGCTAATTATTCTCTTCACTCACTTTCCTCTCCGCCGCTCTCTCGTCTCTTCTTCTTCTGTGTTTCTCTCCCTGTATCGCTCACCCGTCTCTTTCGCCCCCCTGTCGGTGGCGGTTAAAATAGAATCGCCCCGTCAAAATTGAAATCCCCTATTAATGTATTGATTATAGTTCCGGGTCCGTATAGGTCGGGGTCTGGGTCCGGATCCAGACCGTGGTCCGCCTGTTGCCGACCCCTGCATACTGCACCCGCTCAACCCGCCCAACACTTTAAAACAATTCAGTCTCAGCTTTTCAAAGTACATACATGTATGCTCTTTTTGAAGTTCATATAAAAGGTCAACATGAAGTTTAGCAATGATTGTGGGTCAGATTTCAGAATAGTTTCGTAAAAGCAAACATTACAACATGCCGGTGGCCTGTGGATGAATATTTGTGAACATCAGCCATCCTTCACTGATTTAACCACAGTGTTTCACCTCATAAAGGAAACCCAACACTGGACAAATATTTCCTCATTCTGGACAGTTTTTATTTTTGTTTTAATCCCAGCCCGCTGTATCTGCTGTCTGAAAGAGGAAGAGAGCGAAGCAGCTGCAACAACTACTAGCTAGAGTATGAACAATGAATCTTTAGAACTATAGAGAGGGCAGCAATGACTGTAAACATCTAAAATACTGAAAGCAGATTAAGTTATTTGTTTTTAAAGTGAGTTTTTTTAGATGTGAATTAAAAATGTAACCCATATTTTATCTATATTTCATGTAGGGATGCTCCGATCGATCGGCCACCGATCGAGATCGGCCGATACTCACTCTCTACCGATGTTTAGAACATGCCGATCGCGAGAGCCGATCGCATGACGTAAAATACATGACACTTTTCTCTGTGTGCGGCAAAACAAGCCAAAATGGCTTCACCGGTCTGGCATTATTTTAAGGTGTCCGAAAAAGACAGTAAAATAGCGGTATGCAACGTGTGTGTGAAGCAGAAATCCTGCAGTTCCCCCGCCGGACCGGTAAGCGGGACGAAACACACAAGAGTTAGACCTAACACACTTATCTATTTTATCTATCTCTGGAACAAGCTAAACTAGTTATTATAAATATATTTATTCTTCACTGTCGGGTCACTCATTACTGGATCAGTGAGCTGCATGAGATACTGACAGGCTGTCAGGAGAGGGGGAGAGAGGGGGGGGAGAGAGAGAGGAAAAGAGAGCGCTTCCGCTCATTTCTCCCGTGTTATTATCCAAAGTGAATGTAAACTTGAATAATGTACATCATTTGAATGTAATAATTAAGTTGATTGTTGTTTGTGGAAGCTCCAGTGAATGAGCCCCATTAACTGAGTTTTAAACATCACTTTAAATGGAAGATTTAAAGTGATGTTTAAATCTTCCATTTAGGCCCCGCCCACTCGATCGGATCGGCGATCGGTATCAGCCGATACTGATTCCGGCGATCGGCCCCGAAATTGGTGATCGGAGCATCCCTAATTTCATGCATGCCTTTAGGAGCAGTTCCACATTGACTGACATTATGTTGAAACAATGCATATATGCTACCTAGAAATACAAAATAAAACTTTTCAGCCAAATTCAATCCAGTCTTAACCTTAATATATTCACGTCTTTTAGTGTGGTAGCTTTACTTAAAAACATCAACAATCCCCTTCCCCTAAACCAATCCCACAAACTGATTTAATTGTGAACCCCCACAGGAGCAGACTAATTGAAAGATATTGCATTTTGTTCCTTTAACGTGCTAAATCGCTCAAGGAGGGGAGAGGAAAAGCTAAATCCTTCACAGCTCGGGTGGCGAGTCAAGTGCCTCATCAATCTTATCAAAACAGCAGTGGACATGGTGTCACTGACTTTGCATGCTAACAAACCTTTTTGCCAAAGGAACAAATGAATATGCAAATAAGTTTTGAGCTGGAATCAAGACTGGCTGATTGGCAGTCCTTACGCTTGGGAGGGTCGAGATGAGAATTAGGCATTGTGGCGAGGAGAACTGCTCGGTTCAATTAGCCTTCATCTCCACCTGGTGGGTTTTCACATCACACTCCAATAGTAACAGTCTAATAAACACATACAGCCTTCAACCAGCATTAACACGTTTCTCTCAGGGCTGCACACTAACTATCCAGCAGTGCTGCCCTCAGGTCAATCAAACCTCCTTAAACAAGCAACCTTACCCACTGATAAGGTAGCAACTCATCATATTACATGTCGCTTTGCAAATTAACAGACTCCAACGGCTTCCTGGATACAAATGCACACACAGACTGCAAATGAAAAAGCAGAAAGCACCTGCAGACACACACAGGTCCACTCTAAAACATAGTGCTTATAATAATCAGGGGTAAAGCTATCCCAGCATGCACTAGGGGAGAGGTTTTGTAGGGTCAAGCACTAGACCGGTCTCAAGTTCTTCAAACAACTACTTGCATCTACGGGTACGTTTAGAGACATATCCGTAAGTTATATATTTACATCCAAACTGCTTGTAAAAGTTACTTGTCACCTGTCATTCAACTCTTTACTCCAGATGCAGATTCCTATAATAATGGCTGCAAGCACAAGCTGTTTCCTTGCGTTGACTTTGAGCTTTAATGAGTATAAAATGATGGACGAATGCTTGCAACGTAATATGCTACCAAAAATAGACCAATTATTATACGAATCATAATATAAAAACAAATGCAGTATGCAATGTTAGAAGACATAGGAGCTTTGATGAAAAGCTACACCTACAGCCAGTGTGTTTGGTCCCATAAATACATGTATATTGTGTATATAATAATGATCATCATTTCCATTTCCCATCTAAACATCCCCAGCTGTCACTAATGGAAAGACATGGCCGAGTTAAATCACTCTGCTTATTACCGGCCTTTTCCTACTTCTCTCCTTTCAACGCACATCGAGGCAAACTAAATAGCCTGATGCCTTTTCACACATATGCTAATACTAAATAATCCTGCCAGTATCAGGGGCCGGGTAATTGGGTTGCCTCTTCTCTCGCCTCATTTGAGTCCATTTGCTGACAGGATTACAGGCTATTATCCCTCAGGATCGCTTAGGATCTCCTTAGGCCTTCAGATGGCCAAAACACACAAACAAGTGTGTGTGTGTGTGTGTGTGTGTGTGTGTGTGTGTGTGTGTGTGTGTGTGTGTGTGTGTGTGTGTGTGTGTGTGTGTGTGTGTGTGTGTGTGTGTGTGTCTCTGTCTGAACACTGACTGTCATAGCACAGCTGTGTCATTTCAAGTTATCATCATCTTCTATCATTATTGCTTTCTCCGAGGATGCTTCAACATAAGTACAGCATACGCCCCGGTCTGCAGCACAGATAGTCCGAGACTTCTGTCCTCTGAAAGGCCCTTAAAAAGGCTGAGAGAGCTTTCTGCTGAATGGACGGTCGATCAGAGTGAAGGAGGAGGGAGTGGAGGGGGAGGAGGTGTGTATGTCTCGGACAGGTAGGGACCGGACTGTTGGTCAGCAGAGGAAATCACATCGTCTTCACATTCAAACATTCAAAGCAAAGACGGCTCTCCATGTGACAAATGCCCAATTAGGTAAATCCTGAAAGGGTCAGCTCACCCAAATGTAGAACCATGTAATTGTCCATTTAGCTTTGAGGATAGAGGTTACGTTTCTCAATGGAGGTCAATTGAATTGTGTTTGTGGTAATCACAGCAAGATGTGTCCTCAGTTGCTTTGACTAACCGATAGATACACTCAGTGTAATCGGGTTGGGTAAGGTCTTGTTTTACTGCCATGGTCAAAATATCTGACATGTGCAGGTATTCAGTATCAGCTCCGATAACATGGTACATTAAAAACATCACCAGAGAAGATATTGTGACAATGGGTGCTATGAAATGACCTTTTCTATGGTCCAAAAAAGGGTTTGTCTCTTTTTGTCAGCTAATCTTTCTTGAGCGAAAAATTACAAGCTTATTTTGATTGATTTTTCCATTTCGAATGGACACGACATAAAGACAGGTCAAAAATATTCTCCCTGGTCAACCAATTTACTTTTCAAAGTTGACATCCGAACACTTTCTACATGTCAATACTAATCAAGAGACCTAAGTGTTAAAAGCTTGTTTCTATTTGCGTTGATATCAAATTCTTTACAATCGGCAGAGCCAATGAATATAGCCCACAAATACGAATTTTTGGAAAGCGAAAAAAAAACATATTCATAAAAGCTACCTTCTTCATGATATCACAGTGTGTAAACTCACCCTCTGGCTGGTGGTTGAGGATCATGTTCTTCAGAGTGTTGCAGTCCACAGTGGGCAGTCCGTTGTCCGTGTATACAGACGGCCGGTAGTTGACGTCCGATCTGGACCGGTTGTGTCCCTTCTTGAAAGCCGAGTTGGACGAGGAGTTTGCGGTGTTGTGGGTGCACTCCTTGCTTTGGGCTGCCAGGTCGTTGGTGGAGCGTGCTCGGCTTCTCTTGCCGTGCCTCAAGCCCACCCCCAGCCCCAACACGGTGAAGTTGTCGGCCCAGGCCAGGCCCAGGGGTCCCACCTCCGTCTGCTCTCTGGCCAGCAGACCCCACACGCCACTGGAGCTCAGCTTCCCCCGAGCGGCACTGGACCCTTCCTGCAGCTGCTTGGGCTGCAGGGTCCCGGTCTGCGCCTGACTCGGACCTTGGCCTTGCATCCCACCCATGCAGTGGATAAATTCCTCAGTGGCCTCTAGAGCCGGGCTGATATCGCCCACCATGTCAAGCTGCTCAAGACCCTCCATGGCTGGGCCCCTGAGCTACAAGTCCCACAGCTAGATGGTTTTACAAACTGGAGACGAAATTCCTGTTAGAAACATCCACATGTCCAACAGACCAAACTGACTGTCAGCTGGTCTCATGTAGGCTAAGAGATGGGGGCGGGGGGGGGGATCCAAACAGCCCTCAGGCTTCACAAACTGCTTCCGAAGCCAAGTCCTGCTCTCCTCCTCAAGACGGGGCCTTCAGGGTGACAGTCTATGCTTCCTCAGTGTGCCTCTGGCTCTGGACGGAGAGTCGACTGCTTCTCTGGGGAGAGCTACTGAGGCTTTCTGCCAGAGCCTGGGATTCCCCGAAATCAAGCCAATTTGGGTGAGAAACGCCGTTATTCAGCCAGATAAAAACACTTAGGGCAGACAAACATTGAATTCCCTCCACACATACTGAACTGTTCAGGGGAAGTTATTTTAGCCGGCCAGGTGGCTGTGCAGTCATCAGATGGCGACTGTCTGTGGACTCACTGTAACACACAGAAGAGAGAAAGAGGAAATGGTTAAGAGGAAGCATGCCGAACAAAAAAATGGAAACACAGCTGACAGTGAGAATACTTGGCTTAAATTACATATAAAACGACTCGTTCTCAAAGCGCTTTCTTCAAACTATAAACAGAGGCTTTTGCCACAAAAGATAAACAAAGGATACTGAACCCTCTAGTTTAAAAACTCAAAGAATGAAACTACTGACCCACCTACAATATCTTCATCACACCGGAGCTTCACAGATTGCTCCTCAGCAAATAGAAACGATCAACCCCCCCCCCAAAATGTCCTGATGAAATAATACTTGACTTCCTCCTCGGCTGCTTATCACCGGACTGACCAGCGGAGAGGAAGCAGGCCAGGGTGGGGTTACCATCCATCTGCTTGTCTCTTCTGATTCACTCATCTGTCTCTCTCGTGCCCGCTCTCAAATCCTCTTTCTTTTACCATTTGTGCTCTCTCGCCTTTATTGATTGTCTTCTCCTCCACAGCTCAGCCTCTTTTACTTTTCTCTACATATGAATTATTTAAAGGCCATTACATCACTGCAGTTCAATGGCTAGTCTCGCCAGGCGTTACACATTGAATATTCACCATTCATCCATGATGATTTGTTACAAAGGAAGATATTATCGTAGATATCACTGCGATTTCAATTGTCTTTATTAGATTTATTTAAAATGTTATTTTAAAATGTACTTATATGCATTATGCTTACAAAAGTACGATACCATACACCCGTTGATAGTACCATGAAAATATGTAGTGGTAAACAGTTCCAGCTTTAAAATGAAACTGCTGACTCAATTGTTTGCTATTTCCCCAATTTCACACAATCATTTCTGTTGAAATTCACCTTCAATCTAAAAGTGTATACCGCATATAATTGTAGAGGAAACTTCTGTGTAGCATGCAGTGGAGTCACCGACTCAGGAAGGAGACACGGGAAGAGTCGGAGCTTTGATGTCAAACCACTGTGATTTATTTGGAGTTGGTACCAGAGTATTCACATCACAAATCCAAGAGTCAGAAGTTCTGACTCCACGGTAGAGTTGCCACGTCAATTCTGGAGAGCCTCTCTCTTGCCAGCCCATCTAACTGGTTTCGCAGAGAGTAAACAACATATTTGAGGAGATAGCCTAAACAGTGTGGGAACACAGAGCTACTTGCCTCGGACACTTATGACCTCGAAGATTTTACCTTGGAGTCCACAAATACAGAGAAGGACGTGTCCCAGTGTACCCACAACACAGACCATCTGTATCCCAGTATTGACCGGTCACAGAATGGGAACAATAACATTATTGGCTAAGCCGCCTGTGTCCTTAAAGAAGGTAAACAGACATCGAGGTTTGTCCTGTATGTTACTAATTGGCGTCTTATGATAATTATTTCCATAACAATAATGACATCAATGATAAAACAAAAAAATGTAAACTAGATAAAACTGCAATGCCATAAAAATACAGTACGTAGGCAAATGTATGTAAGGATAATAAAGTGGTCTAAGCTCTGTTAATTTTTTAATATACATGCTATTTATTCTTGTGAATTATAAAACACTGTTTTTTACAGCATATTTAAGGAAATCTTAAAACAGTATATATTAGATTTATATTTGAACAGCCTGTATACTCATATACCAGCATGTTTTCCACGCCATCTTCTGCCTGTAGATAAAGCTCTGACCTGAACATCGTCATCGTGTTACTCATCGAGCTCGCCACTGAACTGTTGACTCACACATGCTGCCAAGCCAATACAGCAAACATTAGCTGGAAGAGCACAGATTACAATACTCTTCAGAGATGAAGTAAACTGAAGAATAAAGCATAAAGGAATACTCTTTCAAAATGTTTTGTTTTAAAAATATAATAATACTAAAATATGATACGAGGACTGTGTTTATCAAAAGGAAAACAGACTTGAAAACAATACTGAATGCATGAAGTGCTGATTTGTTAGATTGTGTTATCACGAGTATGTTACTTTGGCTTGAACTGACATTTTGTTTCACTTCATTATTTGAATAATATGTATATATATATATTGATTGATTATTCGAAATAATCCACTTGGCCAAACACACGTTCAAAGAGTTTGTGTCATTTAGCTTTAGCACAGAAATACAGACTAAACAAACAGCTATAAATCAACCAAACGGAACAAAAATGGGCAAAACTAAACATATGATATACACAAGAGTAGAATGTATAAAAAACTGTAAATGATAATGTCAACATATAAGTCAAGCCTTTCTGTGAATAGTAAACAACACAATAGTAACAGTAAATTCATATTGAATTAATATCAAGTCAGTGGATACATCATCTTTAATTCCTGAAGAAACATTACACAATGACTCTACTGATGTTTAATAATTACAGCTAAAAAGAGACTGAAAAGAGGCTCAGTGCACTTGTTTGTGTTTGTCTCTCTTCTGCAAACAGCCAGTCAGCATCTCAGCAGTAAACACACAGAGGTGAAGCCACGGTCAGCCTTTCCGGTAGCTACATTAACCTGCTACGTAAGTTAGCTCTCTAATATGTCCTGTTTTTCACGACACACAGGCCGTATAAAGCAACATATATATAAAAGACTAACTCCTCTGAAGCTGGCTGAATAAGGCCTGTTTTTATCCCCAGCTATGTGATGGGAGCCTAGGCTAGTTAGCTAGCAGCTAACGCTAGCCTCTCTCCATCCTTGATCAATGTCACTTTAAAACCACTTAAATCTGTCCACTCTCTCACATCTGAACCATAATATGTCAGTGGATCTGCACTGGTATTGAGGTGAAACTGGTGCCATAAACAAACAGTAAAACATAAATCAAGACTCACCTTACTGTGTTTACCACTATGTCATTTTGACAGTCCGTCAGTGATATAGTCCCCTGAATGCAACTGCAGCTGCGGGATAAAGGTTCCGTTTAATGTTTGAACACAATATGAAGATTACCCAATGTTATTGATTTATTACATACTTCAAGTATAGTACATTATAGGATAGCCTACTTATGAACTCATACAGAAAAGTCCAGTCAATAGTGATAATTCAGTTAATTATCTCAACTCATGACACTATGTAATTTACTCATTCTGGAATCAGGTCACAAACATGTCACATGTTTAATTTCCCTTTAAAATTATACTTTTTCATTTAGTTAACACAATGGAAAGTACAACACAGTACAATAATAATGCACCTAATAGTTACTCCAACCTATACAGTCACACAACAACAACTAACATCAGCACCCTTGTCACATGTCATTTCATAATGTTTGTAGTCATCACAGTGGGGCATACTGATATTTGGCTTTATTAATTTATAGCAATTCTTCAAATTCTAATACCTTTTTTTCTATCATTGTATTTGTAACACTAAGACATGTATGTGTTGTTGCTGTTCTTTCTCACCACTTATGTTTCGTCTTTCACTATGTGGTATGTGTTAAGGTCATTTACTTAAATATAGGGCATTTCTATCATTTTCGTTATTTTAAAATGGGATAAAAATCACCAAAAGGCATGATCAACAACACAGTTGATAGCAGGGGGTGGTGCATTTATTTAGTCTCACAAAGAAAGGTCGTGACACACATCTTCAGAGTATAATCTGACAAAGATGGGAAAAGGACCGGAGAGTGGAGGACAAAGCAAAGGTGGAGAATAGTTTCCCCCTAATGGGCAGCTTGAAGCTGCCCCCAAACCCAAAGAGTCAGTCCAGCAGAGAGAAGCATCATTCAGAGGAAAGCAGGCATTCTCCTCAAACAGGGCTGAATCGATATGTTTAAATAAAGAGGTTTTTATTAAAAACCATATTTGTGAAACAATATTTTCCACCTCCAGCAAGACATGGAGGATTGTAAGATATGTATGAAAACTGTTTGCAGGTAGGATGTATACTTCATTGGCTGAGAAAAGCTTAAAGCATATGATGTAACGTTTTTCAAGATGGTTTGTTAGGAAAATGTTTTAATTTGATTATTTCCTATGTCAGCACACAAGACTGATTGTCGGTAGCCGCAATAAAACAAATGTCATTATCAGCTTTCACAAGCCCATCTGAGGAAACCCCTGGCCTCCTCCTCCTCCTCCTCCTCCTCCTCCTCCTCCTCCTCCTCCTCCTCCTCCTCCTGCTCCTCCTCCTGCTCCTCCTCCTCCTCCTCCTCCTCCTTTCTCTGAATGCTCTTTGTCTGAATTTGTTTCAAAAGTTCTCCCCAGTGAAGGAGAGGAGGTCCAGGCCGCTCTAATTATCTCTACTGTGTTGCTCTCTCTGCAGCAATGTTGCAGGATAATAGTCCTGCATGTCTCAGATTCCTTTAAAGGAATTTCTTCTGATTGTTATTTTACTTTTTTCAGAAATTACTTTTGAAATATTTTAAGCAAAAGTAAATTAATGGAGATAAAACATCTTATTCCAGCACTTAACATTAATTATATTTAACATAGATTTTGGTGACCACAAGCTAGAGATAACTTGAGAAAATGTGTTCTATTTTCTTTTTAAGTTGAATTTTCATTGAGTCATAATTTGACATGAGAAAAAGCATGAGTGTGCATCCAGGTATTGGTGGTTCCAGACTTCGTAGTTTGTGCAGCATTGAAGCCACATCTGAGCTTTAGAAATCCTTTTAAGCTAAGTGCCTGTGACTGGATATAGTGATTTATGCAACAAATAAGCTTCAACTTTAGGCATAAGACCACCTCTGTCCACGAGGCTCCATCATTCTCATCTAACAGCAATCACACGTCCCTCTTCCCTTGACTCATGCACTCAGTCCTCTCTGTCCTGTCAGTCTTTCCTATTTCCTTCTTTATTTTGATCATACCATCTTCTAGTGATGACTAAATTATGATTAGATTTAAGCATGTGCAGTGCTTTCATCTGTCTAGTGCGTTGTTTAATACTGCCCCCTCTAACCACTCTCAAACCGCAACCCCGACCCCCCAAACACACACAGCACAATGGCCATCTACCTCGACTCACTCAGCCACTATTGAAGAGCAGAGGGGCTGCTTGGTTCCCATGGAAACACTGCACGTGTATGTGTGTGTTTCAGTAAATGTCTCTCCCTCGATGAGATTAAGTTGTACATGTGAAAACACACAGAAGTAGGGGTTAATTTGTCTTACAAAGCATCTGCAACCTGTGTACTGCTGCATTATACACTTTAATATGGAGTAGTAATAATAACAAACCATACAGTATAACTTTTTAAGATAGTCCTAAATAAAAAACTGGCGCCCTTTGACAATTTAAACTGGTTTTTCTCACTATAATTATTTCTCCTTTTTATACTGGCCATTGAAATACCCCTTCTTTATGCATTTTCAATGAAAGTAATGGCTGATGAAATGTATTGCCCTTTTCTCTTAAATACTTGGTGTTTCCATGAGTAAATGCAGTGGGGGATAGTATCATAACATCAAATACTTATCAGAGATTTTCCATTTGAAAAAGAACTTGCACAAGTGAAGCCCTGCGTTAGCTTCAGATATACTTTATGCATTTATTTTACAGCTAACCTAGCCTCCTGCTCGCCTCACGAGGAGAGGGCTACAGAGGTCACTTCCTTCTAACTCATCACCCACAGTTTCTTTTTCATTTTTCAAACTTGTAATCTGGCTGAACTGACTTTGTGCAGCTGATGTAATTTCACACATATACAAAACACATCTAAACAGGCTGTGAAACTCCCAGATCGCCAAAACAGGTAAGTTAATGGACAAAGGACAAAATCAAATGCATTCAAATAAACCAAGGATATTCCTCTTATCACAAAAAGGCAATAAACAAACCACTGCCATTCAACAAAGACAACTTCCAGATTGACTGACTGTTAGGCTTGTAAACCAACCTGATGATATTTGTTTGGAAATGTTATTATGAAAGTGTATGTGTGTGTGTGTGTGTGTGTGTGTGTGTGTGTGTGTGTGTGTGTGTGTGTGTGTGTGTGTGTGTGTGTGTGTGTGTGTGTGTGTGTGTGTGTGTGTGTGTGTGTGTGTAGCCCTGCACCCCACGCCTCATTCACACCTAATGATCGCAGCCTCTCACTGGCAGCCATCTCTTCTTCCAGACCAAATCCAATTACCTGGGACAATAGAAACCAGCTCCAGCCTCAGGACTCCATCAGCTCCTCTGCGCTCCTGCTCCCTGCTCCGAGACTCCTGTTGGACCCCTAATCATGTCAAGGGTCCACAAGGGCCAAAAGGTACACCTGTAGACACACGCACACACAGATACAAGTACAAAGGAAAAACAGAAATACAAACATACATCGAGCCCAAATGCAAACAAAGAATACACAACTGCAACAGTCGACAAACACAGTTGTAACAAGAAAACGCGGGACAGAGAGTTAGATATCCTGTTATTTTGATGAAATACTTTTCCAAAGCTACTCACATACATTTTAATATCGTACGCATACCTTCGAAAGAAATGTGGGGTTAAGTATCTTACCCAGGGACACTTTGTTGACTTTTTAGGTATGTCAGCTATTTTACCCCTGCGCCATTGAGCAATACGAATCAAAATACTTTATTCTGAAATGGATTACGTGACAGTTGCTCCAATTACAAAAACAAATACAAAACTGTATATATAGTAAAAGAGTGAACATGTGCAATGAAAAGAAAAACAATAGTATAATAACAATAGAATAACAATATATAAGAAATGCATTCAAATGAGAAAGTATAAACAAATTAAACAACCAAGAAAAAAAGAAAAAAAATAGCACAAATGCATTGAACATGTTGCTCAATATTACACGCACACGCACACACACACACACACACACACACACACACACACACACACACACACACACACACACACACACACACGTTGTATACGAGCACAACTTTCACTTATCAAGGGCTCCATCTAGTGGAACAAATATGAAACAACAACGGTTTGAAAGATGGACTAAAAAATGTTTCCCAACAATCCTTAAAAAAATTATGTTATCCCTGAAAAAACTGAAGAAATAATCGCCTAATGACATTACATTGTGTTTCTGAAAAATCCAATGGATGCACACGTGAAAAATAAAGTCTAGCTAATTGTTTGTTGCCTTTTATTTTGAAAGTCAAAACCGGATAAGTCAGAGTTTAATCACGTGACAGTCGCTAAAGCAACATGGCGGATGCTCGTAGGATGACAGTAGACGGAGGAGAAACGCTGCGATATGCTGAATATACTTCAAAAACAAATGTCAGGAGCGATGCCGGTATAGATTCACGGCTGGTAAGTGTCTGTTTTCAAACTGAAGACATTCATTGGGTTAATTTGAATGGACCATTGTGGGTTTTACCTGTTAACGTGTGTGACGTAACCTCAATGACCGCTAAACGCACGGCTGCTTCTCACTATTTTAAACTTGCATCTTGGTCCACATTTGTTTTGGATGTTAGTTAAACACGTAAGGTTAATGCCACATAAATGTTAAATGGACTTACAGAGACAGAGACAAAGAGATGTAGAAAACGCTCTTATCGTTGCTTATATTGTCTTCTGGCTCACGCATTTAAAACAACAGTAGGCTATTGCAAGTTGTCCCCATATATTGCAGAAATAAATACTTCGGAAAAGTGTATTGTCTTTGCGTATGAAGATGTTCTGCAACTCATTGATCTCACACATTTTGTAACATAGAAATGCTCAAATATAAATATTATGCTGCATTAAACACAAACCATCAATGTGGAACTTTTATATTGTGTGATATATAGGACACATTATTTGATAAAAGTCAAAAATGTGGTTGATATTCCTAATACAATTAATTGTGATGCTCTTTTCCTTGGCTTGCTTCTACCTCCAATGTTTTGCTTCTCGTGTCTAGACTAGTTTAACTTCCCAGTGTGTTAACTGTTGGGGGTTTGTTTTGCGGACAGGGAGGGGCTCTGATTGCAGTAGGTCTTGGTGTGGCTGCTGCAGGTTTTGCAGGTAAGAATAGTTTGATATGAAATCAGTAATTTACAACATTTTCAGAAATATGTTTGTTTTTAATCAGATTCATGTGTGCTTATAATCGACAGGCCGCTATGCATTCCAGCTGTGGAAGCCTCTTGGACAAGTCTTCACTGAAACTGTCAGGAAGATGCCCACATACGGCGTGAGTAATTATTAAGCTTCCTGTAACCCTGCCTACACCCCTCTTCTGGTAAATGTAGCACCTCATACCGTTTTTAGGTTCAAACTAAAGAAATGTTGTGCCCTTGAGATACCCAACGTATATAGAGAACTCCCTGGCATTGCTTCACACTCTCTGATTTTGGGGAGTGGAAAAAAAACAAAGAGGAAGTAGAGCCAGTACTAAATGTTTTGAGAGATGTAGCTCTAATTCCTTTCTTTCCCCACAGGCTTTCTCACCATATTACAAAGGAGGTTTTGAGGGGAAGATGTCCAAACGAGAGGCCAGCCTCGTTCTTGGCATCAGGTAATGTTTTGTTTGTAAATATTTCTTAAACGTTTAACATATAAGTTAAATGTGTGTGTATTACTGCTCAGAGGTAAGGGATGATTGCTCACATTGTTGTATTTGTTTTCTTCTTTCTGTCCAGCGCAACCAGCACTAAAGTCAAGGTACGCGATGCACACCGGAAGATCATGGTTCTGAATCATCCAGATAAAGGTGAGCTGAAATTCTGAAGATGGGGGGAAAAGTAATTCAATTATATTCGTTTTTTTACCTGACTGCTTTTCTTCACAATTCTTTATTGTCACCCAGTGTCTAACTTATGTCATCTTAAAGAGTATGGTTGGTTGTGTGTGGTTATCAATACCCACATTAAAATGGGCCAAATGTTGGATAGGCCCTTGTGTAAAACAAAGCATTTATGTTACATGTTTGAAAAGCTTGTGGATGGTTGAGTTAAAGGTCAAACTTGTGTATGTGTTTGTGCAGGTGGGTCACCGTATCTCGCCGCTAAGATCAACGAGGCCAAAGACCTTTTTGACAAGGAGAACCGGCATTGAACTTCAGATTTAACGAACACTTTAAAGACTTCAATCATCTGGTGCACGATCTCAACTCGGAGGGGCTCCATCAACATCGAGGCTCCGCTTCTGGAAGCAAAAATATACATTCATGACAGTTTTCTTCTTAACTTATCTCCAACCTAATGTTTTAACATAATGAATATATAAATACATATGTAAATTGAAAGTGAAGGAGATTACCTTGAAGGGACTTGAAAGTGAATTTGTATATAAGTAAAGGCATAGGTGGGTCAACTGCATCAACCACAACATTTTGTATAGAGTTGTTTCTTTTGAAAGAACAAGATAAATATACAATACTTTAATTCCATTTTTAAACAGTTGATGTGAACATTCTTTTCTTTTTTTTTTTAAAATAAACTTGATATTATAATCCAACGTCCCTACAGTATATGTTTTTATGAGTGAATGTGCTGCAGACAAACACATTCAGACCGCAACTTCAAAACACTTCTTTATTTAGAGGATGATGTCATATGTATATATTATTGGACGGGGAGGACAGAAAGCAGGACACAGTATTTAACGGTTACACTTACAGCAGCAGTTATTGGTCGAAATACCTACAAGAAGGTTTGCTTGGAAAAAGTCAAATAAATAGAAAAAGTCTTCTATCCTGATGTCAGAGTGGATCAGAGCGAAGCGGCACAGGTTTGATGTTCATCATGAAGGCAGAGGGTTTCTATAGAGCAAGTGGTAGGAGCCTCTGGGTCCTTGGAAATGTTATGTCCAAGACAATTTCAACAAGAAACATCAAATCATTCAAACAGGAAATTAGAGTTATGTTTTGAAATCAGTTTCTCTCCTTGTTTTGTGTTTCTGATCTTTCATTGCCAAAATACTGAGCCCAAAAAAAAGGAGAAATTGTGCAAAAAAAGTTGTAAGCAGTGCTCCAATCTGTTTTTCGAGGCAGCTTCCTGAGGGTGTCCTAATCCCTGGTTGAAAAAGGCAGCGGTAAAACCACATTATCTTGTTTAAGGTGTGACAGGCTCATTGTTAATTTCCCCAAAAATGCTTGAGAAAAAGGGAACCATACCTCCCACTCTGGGAAAGATATGAAAATAATTTAAATTTCAGTTCGACTTTGGAGGAAGACTTCAAAATTTGGGTGGACTTGATCAATTTCTCCTGATAGCTTACAAGAAGACTTCACAGATATTTGGATGTTGTTTCTTGTAATTTCGCGAGGCTCTTTGGGACTTGCTGTTTTGTTCTCAAGTTTCTATACAAACAGTCTTGTAGATTAGAGTTTGTCGATAAAGCAGGTTTTTCTTTCAGCTTATTTATACAATCAGGAGAGTGTCATGTTCATCCCAGTGCTGAAAAGCCCGAACTGACAATCACAAAATGGGAAAGGACCATCGATGAAGGAAAAGGATCAGGTGGCGGCACACCTGATAAACTGCAGCTTCATGTTCTTTTAGAGGACGGAAATGAAGGGAGGCGAGGAGGTAAGAAAGGCGAGACGTCGGAGGAGGCACAGACAGAAACCTTGGTAACAATGTTAGCACCATGGAAGCTCCACCCACTGAAAGGCATGCTGGGAAAGTGGAGGCGTTTTTAGCTGTACATTAGAAGTATTCTTATCCAAACTGATTTCACAGTCGATCGTCGTCATCATCCGGAGATATGAGTATTAACGATTCCAGTATTTTTACATTTGTGAAATCTGCTGGATTGCTTGATGGTAGAACTGATGTTGAAAGGGTGCTGTTGTTTCAGGGCAGAGCGGTTCTGCTGAGCGGAGGGAAATCATCTCATCAACATGTTTATCCTTTTCAGAAGCGAGGCTGATGTAGCCTTTATATACCAGCAGACAGAAAAACCTACTGCTGCAGGGAGACGGAAGCAACCAATCGGAAGTTTAGATGGAAAATAATTCAGCAGCCCTTCGTTAACGAGCTTCATCAAGGCTGCTCAGTTGAACATCATCAGCGTTCGATTAGCAGTCCTGCGTCGCCCTCTCCAAGTCTTCATCCTGCTGCCCTGCCGCCTCCTCCTCCTCTTCCTCATCCTCTTTCTCGCTCAGTTCCTCTCCGATCACGTCCAGCCGTGCTTCCTGCCCGTTTAATACATGCTCTTCTTCCTCATCTTCCTCTTCTTCATTGTGAAGCCCCAGCTCCTGCAGCTGCAGCCGCCGCTCCTCCACCAGCAGGAGGCGCTCCCTGACGCACTCTGCTGCCGCCGCCGTGTCGCTGGGACTCCCAAAGTACTGCTCCGTCCTGAAACAACACAATGAGTCATTGAGTTTTTAACATGTGAAGTGTGTGCAGCATTGCGGCTAATCTCCCTTTAAATGGAGGAAAAACAACCATACTATCAATATTTGTATATAAACAGTGGCTCATATCACGTTTATGGGAAAGGAGTCCCTTGTAGAGACAAAACTGATTTCTTTTTTTGTTGCTTTTGCATCTTCAATTATAGAAAGAGGGATTAAGTGGAGGAAGACGGAAACCAGTGCTACCAGTGCGCTCTGATTTAAACTGACTTTCAACTCATTGTTTTGCTTTTACAGCACAGACATTTTGTTCACTTTCCCACTCTTAGAGGCTGTATTGTAAGGCAAGTTTATTTATATAGCACCTTTCAACACAAGGCAATTCAAAGTGCTTTACAGACATTTAGAGATTATCTGGGGAACATAGAAGAGCATTTAATTAGGTGAAGAGCTAAATCTTTCCGTCTATAATTGATAGAGATTGAATAAATGCTTATATTCAACAGGTAGAATCCTAATACATGTCAATGTTACCCTGTAATATCTGATGGATGTGTAAATAAGCAACTGTTTGGCCAAATAAAACACTCATTGCAGGTTTAATGGTTTAGTTGTAGTGGTAATTATTAGGGGGATGAAAAGCAGTCTGTGTGAAGATGTACCCATCGGGGAAGATAACAGGCATGGTCAGTCTGTCCAGCAGAGTTTTCCCAGAGGAGTCGACTTCATCCAGAGACTCTGAGTCGACACATTCCTGCTGTAACACCTGAAACACAGTAACAAGCCACACACTGAATTTATGCTTTCTATGTTTGTGTGGCTACAACGGTGTAAATCTGCTGCTTCTGCTGTGCAAGCACACCAACAAGTGCCCTGACAGCACATGTTATTGTTATGCTGCTACAACAGTTGACAGATAATAAAACAGTGGCCTGTCTCACCCTCTCGGCGGCGGTGTGGAAGTTCAGAGCCAGCTCCAGCCTCTGCTGTCTCTCCTCAGCGCAGACGCTGAACTGTTTCCAGATTCGGTTGAGTCTCGGCAGGGTGTCTCCGGACGAGCGTGTCGTACATCTCAGAGACTGACAGAGGACCACCGTCGCCTGCAGCAGCTGACGGCCGTAATCATAGGTGCTCTGAAGGAAGAGACAGGAAGACAGTTATTATTAGTTTTTTATCATTTCAGTATTATTTCATCCTTTTTTGTCTTCTAAAGATTATCTCCAAATACACATTTTCTTTTTAAATCACCAATATTACACCTATAATGATAGGCAGAAAATGTCAAAACAAAAATCCTCATTGGCATTTCAAACTCCGTACAGTCTTTGAACAGATCATTTAGGACACACACTTGAGGTAACATGACCAAATCTAAGCTTAAACAGTGATATATTATCAAAATGACTTACATTTACATGGTTTAATATATATATCTTCAAATATATTGTTTGCAATAACTAGATCCTATAAAAAAAAACATGACATTCTGCCCTACTAAATATAGGACTTCAAATAAATGAAAAAGAAGCCATGGTGAGTTAAGTAGAGTGGAGCAAAAAAAGTACCTAAAATTGCTTGAGGTTCATATTGTTAAATTTGAGACTCAACACAAATCATTAAACCACCTTAGCAGCATGACTAAGAGCATCTCACCTGAGCGACGTCTACAAACTTCCTGTGTTTGTCCAACATGGTCGTCGTCTCCTGAGATTCGTCCCCCAGTCTGACGTGAGTCTTCAGCAGGGCGTCCAACAGCTCGCCGAGCCACTCTACTGACTGAACACACACACGAAACATGATAATCTATTTCATACAGAAAGTATTAAGTGTGTAGCTGTTGTGTGTCCTACCTGTAAAGCATCTTCTTCGCATTTGAACAGTTGGACCATCTGTAGCATCTTCAGCCTCCTCACATCCACCATGTCCTCACACCTGCACACAGTTACACAAACTTACCACGTGGGACTGATAACTGGTTATAACACAGTGTCAATGTTTTAGAGATGCATCTTTATGACCTTAAAGTTAATGTTACAGAAATAAATGTTAATTTAAACTCTGCAGGGAACAATGTAAAGAAACAAATGCTTTGCTGCTGTTCTAGGCTTTTGGTTTTGTTTTGAAACCAAGTCGTTTGTAAAGTGTTTAATTTGTTTTATTGATTATTGATCTGAAAACAAAGTAAAGAAGGACTTATGGGAGCTATAGTTTCTAGAATTCTAGCAAAATGCATGTTGGAGTTTCCAGGTGCTAGAATCTGGTCATACAGATCAGTAGGAGATATACAGTGTATTCCATCTTTAGTCCCTCATGGCTAAGAAGGAAGGTACCTCTGCTTGCGGAGCTGCATCTCCTCCATCACACCCTGGATGTGCTGCACGTTGTCCTGCTGTTCTCCAGCTGGACTCTCCGTCTCCTCCAGGGGCCACGGAGCCTGCGTGCACATCTGCTCCATCAACTGCGCCCCCTTCTGACGCAGAGATGTTAGACCTGCCTCTGTATTGATAAAGGGAGATGTAAATATTCTTTAAAACAACAAAACATTAGTATTTTGGACGAAAAGCCTCATCAGTCAGAGCACGAACCGACAGTTTGCAGCTTCTCCTCCAACAGTTTGAGGTTTTGTTGAATTGAAGCTCCGTCAGCTGGAGCCACATCAGCACAGAGCATGCCCAGCAGACCGTCCAACAGCTGGGACAACTGCAGGGACAGACACAGAGCTTTGATTACTCAGAATACATCTGTAGCCACTTGCCCACATTCAGATTCATCCGGAAATGTTCTGGCTTTAGTTTCCTCTTTTATTGAAATAGTGTTTGTTTTTCCTAAATTTGTTTCCAGTACGAAACATCCAGTACGAACAGCAGATGATACAAAGTATGTGTGTGTTTGTGTGTGTGGGGCGTGAGTGTATGGGGTGTGTGTGTGTGTGTGTGTGTGTGTGTGTGTGTGTGTGTGTGTGTGTTACCTCCTGTGTGGTGGTGTGGAAGCCCTGTGCTGCCTGCAGGATGTTCTGTCTGCACTCCAGCTGAGCGGCCTGCTGGTAGCACACGTCGCTCAGTTGCTGCTGCAGCGCCTTCAGCTCCACCACCTCCTCCTCTTCCCCGGCACTGAGCAAGGCAGCGATCTGCTGGTTCAACTCCACGTACACTGCAAACCATTCCTGTACAAAAACACAAACAATCAGCACAATGCCTACATTTACCACCAGTCACCTAGCAGTCACATTAAACTAAAGTCCATACTACAGACAGCATCAAACTCCACTCAGAACTGTGTTGACCCCAAATCTCATTCATTCATTTGTATATGTTGTTATGTATATTTTTGATATGTTGCCTTACACTGTGCTGGCTCTCGATCTCCTCGTGTTTCTGCTGCAGAGTCTGAGCCGCCCGCATTGAGTCTCCGATCGCCTGCTGAGTCTTCAACAGCTCTGAACCTGGACCCTGCAGCCAGGTGACCACCTGAGATGAAGAAAACAGAAAACAGAAAACAGACTTAGTGATCTCTTAAAAAGGGAAGAAGATGGAGCTGCTGGTCTCTCTTTTTCACAGGGCACTTGTTTGGATCGACATTTATCTCATTGTGTTCAAAACAAATGTGTTAGAATATCTGGGTTTTTTCTGATAACAGAGTGAAAGGTACAAGCATGTGAACATTACAATGTAATATGAACAGTTAACTATGACTTACAAAAGGCACTTTGATTGAGAAACCTTCAAACAATCAAAAAGCTATAAATTCAGTTATTTCCACACGCTTTGACCAGTAAGACATGACATGTGAGCGAACCTATACAGTTTATGGAGCAAACGTGCACTAAACAAGATTCTAAAACTAAAGCAACCAATTTGATTACCACTATGACGTGTCAAAATCTCTACTGAGAGAAACTCTACGTCTGTGGACTGCAGTTCAGCAGCGCGACCAGCAGGGGGCTCTGAGGCTCTGCATGTCTCTGATGGCTGCAGATGATATCCAACATGACATCCCATCACAACATGTATTATTTCCTTTCATGGTCACTGCCCATTAATATTTGCTGTTATAAATAGTTTCTGTCAAAACCACTTTACCCGAGACTCACCCGTTTATGTTTTCCACAAATATATCAACATATTACATCATGTTTAACTGAAAAGAAAAAAGTGAAATGGAACATTGATATCCAGCTGAAGCATGTGAGGGCTAGGAATGATTTCAGATCACACAGAGCTCCTCAACTCAAAACACTGGTGCCTACATTTCCCAAAATGCCTGTGAATGTGTCCTTCGTCAGTCTCTCTCTTCCTAGTAAATGCTTTTTACACATACTGTATATGGTCTCCCTGTTCTTTTGCACGAGCATGAATGTTACCGATTGGCTGGAACAGTGCCAAACACACAATGAACAACTAGCCCACCTTGCAGATATATTCATGACAAAAAGTATATTGGATTTAAAATCTTACACTAGACCTTTGAACTTGCATTTCCACTGAGAAAGAACTGCAATTTTTTTTTTTAATTCTATAATTCAAAATGTTTATATTTTCCACAATGTTTAGAATGTTAATGAAAGCTTATTGTGAACAATCTGGGAATGTGCCTCGTTTGCTAGTTACCTCATGTCCTGTGGACTTTATATCGTTTTTTCTTTAAATGGTGTGTTTGTTCATTACAAAATGGAATCTTATTCAGTGATTTCCTTATGAGTTCACAATTGTATTATACAGTACATGAACATCTGGAACTTTCCAGATGTGTGCGTCAGTGTCATGATGTAATTGTATTTATCAGGTCAGTGACGCCTTAAAGAACAAACACAGACACACACACACAAGTATGATCCAGAACTAGGCCACCGCCAACAACCCCCCCACCCCAACCTCAACAAGCCCTTCAGGCTGTAGACCGACGTGCTGTGGTTCCCATGGCAACCCCAGGCTTATTTCCAAGACGTTGGTGTTACCCATCAGCCCCTGCGGCTGCGGGAGCCCCAGTAACTACAATATAGTCTATTTCTACTTAAGTGCTGCTCACTAACACTGTGTTTGAGGGTCAAAGGTCAAAGACTGGATGATAAAAGAATCAGAGCAAAGGACTTAAATACTGAGGGTCAAAGCTGCGTCTAAGTCTACAGATGTAAAGGTCGCATTTATACATTTCTACAATGATCGGGAACATGAACTGTAGTTTCAAGAGCTGTATTAGGAGCAGTGAACATTATAAAAGCAAGAGTTTGAGATTAGAGAAACAGACTTGGAGGAGAGTTGGATAAGGAGACTGACATATTCCAAATAGCTGTCCAATAGATATGAAGCTACAGCCAGCAGCTAACTTCAATAAAATAGATTTTGGTTGGTTCTACAGTTTGTTGTAGAGAATTGGGAAAACAAGAACACGAGCAAATAACCTTTCATTTGGGAAAAGCTGCCACAGCATAATTGTACTACTCTTGTTTCTGAATCATACACACAGAAAGTATCCACCAATTATAGTTCATTAGATAGGGATTTACATCTTGGGCAACTTGCACATTGATTTGTCTACATGTGCGAAACACAGACGGGACACAAGGGAAAAAACTAGTCTATAGCTCTGCCTAAGAGGTAAAAAAAAATCCACCTACCATTTATGTCTCAGTCATGTTTAAGTCTTGCTGAATTTTGCATAAAACAAAACAAAATCATGACACATCCCCAAAGGTTGAAAAACCTTCAAATTGAGATTCTGGCCAACAAATGAGGTTGAACTGCATGTTGACAATCATTAACAGATGGGGACCCAGGCTCACAGCTGTCCATATACCTGTTCCTGTGTGTGTGTGTGTGTGTGTGTGTGTGTGTGTGTGTGTGTGTGTGTGTGTGTGTGTGTGTGTGTGTGTGTGTGTGTGTGTGTGTGTGTGTGTGTTACCTGCATGACTTTGGCGTGGATCTCGTCCAGCTGGGTGCGCTTGTTTCGCTGCCTGCAGAGCTCCTGGTATCTGGTGTACTGCTCCCTGAGCGAGTCCAGCAGCTTCATCACCTGAGGCTGAGCCAGCAGCTCCTCGTCCATGGGACACCATGCTGGACCTGGGGGTCAAAGGTCAGAGAGAGGTCAGGCAGGAGTCCTGTGGGGGTTATAGCCCTGGACATCTTCTTATCTTTAGTCAAAATGCACAAAAAGGTACATGCTATTCAGGGAAATCAATTGCAATATTTTAAATACAACTATTTGTTAACCAAGTGATCTAGATGTCCGTCTCATAAAAAAGACGTCACCTCTACATGTATCTGACACTGAACATTGCAGCCTTACAGGATTGTTAATGCCGTTCTTAAATCATGGGCATTCATCTGCTGCTATATCAGTCTCCACTCTTCTAGATGCAGGCTTTCTACCAGATTTGAACTGGATGCTGGGGCTTGGTATCGTAAAACTAAATGCTCAAACTGGTATCGATACCAGTCCCCTTAAACTGAGCTCAACCATACAAATAGTAATTATGTGTGTACTAAAAGGATCGTATGCAGGTATTGCTTGACTGGAGAGGCTGGATTAAATGTGCTCTTGGGTTATTTTTGTCCATACCTAAAAAGGTATTGAGTACTGTTCCCTGCCCTATTGTCTGCAGAGATTATCTCCAGTTCAGACACAAGGCATTAGTGAGGTCCAACCTGATGCTGGGGGACAAGGTCAAGGTCACAGACACAGAAACAGAGGTGACTGTCACACCATCCTTAAACAGAACCTACTTGCACTAGTGTATCTGTTTTATTTGTTCTATGTCCTATATATATATATATGTTGCACTATTGGAGGAGCCTGTGAACTAAGTGTTTCATTGCCATATCTACACTGTAGCTAATGTGCAAGTGACAACTTAGCCTTGAATTGAATCAAATACTCCAGCAGTCTTTGAAGTAGCCTATTACACTGTGTCAACGTGTAGTACTCTTTGAAGTACTGAATTGCTCCAACCAGACAGATATCAGAGAAAGAAAATGGTTAAAAACAATACAGATCTATCCATCCGTCCGTCTGTCTGTGCACCATCCCAGTGACACCAGGATGATTGACAGCTGCTTCCTCACCTCCTTGTCCTCCTCCTTCCGTGCCGTTAAAGCGACGCTGCTGCAGCTCCGACAGCAGTTCGTGACCTGCAGACAGACAGAGTGTGTGGGGGGTGGTATGAGATTTAAAAGCCTGTTATGAAAGCATTTGAAACAATAATGTGTCAGTGTTTGTGTACATGCTGCAGAGGGAGGAGGGTGGTACCACAAACAAAGACTCCTTTCACCTCGGCCCAACACTCAGACACAGGCTGCTCAGTGCGGAGAACACAGCCGTCCATCATCCATCCATCATCCTTCCATCCTTCCATCCTTAGTGTCTATTTAGCTCCAGGTCTTAACCTCAGACCTCCCTCTCCCCTCCAAGAGACCCCGATAATAAGCTTGAATCCACAATTATTGCAGTCTCTACCCACAGTCCATGACCACAAGGGACAGAAGTTGTGAACACAGAAAAAGTACATAAAACTAGAAGAATCTATGCAAAAAGCTTTATATCAGCAATTTCTAAGTTTATTAAATCTGTCTTTTTTGGGCAAATGAGATCATACTTCTGTAGTTAACTTAAGGGGATAGGTTCACACAGTCTTAAAACAATTGTCAAGGGCTCCTTTGACAATAAACAGGTTATTCTGGCAGTGAGTATTTTTCCTGTTCATTAAAAGATTCCCTGCTAATGCTCTTGAACGCAAGCTACGAGGGCCATAATCCAGTGTCCCCCTTTGGTGTATTGCAATGTTTATCTGAAGCTGAAATCAGTTAGTCAAGCGGATATATTCCATAAAATCCCCTATTTGTGTGTCCCTGATACGCTGCAGTGGTGGGACGGTTTGCTGAATCTGTTTCAGACAAAATAGTAAAATTATCGTGAGTGAAAGGGACTTAAAGGAGACATGTCATGCTTTTCCGGTTATTACCCGTCCCCTTGTGTGTTATGAAGGTTTTTATGCATGTAAGCGGTGTGCAGAGTCAAAACCCTCAAAGTACACCCTGTAGCGAGTAAAACTCTAAAACAGAAAATACCTCCCCAAAACGCCTCGTTGGTGAAACCTCATTGTCCATTTTTTACTTCCTGGGTGCTGTGTCGTAGAAGCACCCAGTAGCCACGCCCAGAACTATGACGCGATACGGTCATGCGGTACCCGGAACCAAATGGGCCAATCCGTGGAGCCGTTACGTTACGTCCGCGGAGCCGTTACGTTAAGCCCCCGCTGATTGGTCCAAATTGACCAATCCACGACTTCCTCACACACACACTCAGTGCAGGCAGCTCTGCTGATTTCTCCTCCCTGGCTGCAGGCTGATAACAGACAGTTGGGATCGCGGCGAAATTCTCTCTGCAGACCCATTCTCTCTGCAGACCCATTCTCACAGCGTTTATCAACCTTTTTCTTCCTCAATATCAAGCCACACTTATTGTTTTTACTTCGGCTGTGACTTTGTGTGTGCTCAGGGTGAGTTTGGCTGTGTTTCGCTGTGTATCGCTAAACAAGGAAATCACACCTCCACGGAGCTCAGCGCGATTCACAACGTCCCGACTGGTCCCGACCAATCGGAGCACACTGTGCTCACAGGGAGAGGGGGGGGCAAGAGCTGCAGCGAGCCGTTTAGTGGAGAAAGTGAATACTGCTGAATACACATACTTTACAGAGATGCGCGAAACCAATGTGAGTTTGGAAAATTGCACAGTATTTTTCTATTTTAGTAGACCTCAACAATGGAATTATGATCAGTGGAAATGGCCATGACACCTCTCCTTTAAATGAGAGGAGATGATATTTACCAGTCTGAAGGACAGTCTCAGGGTCGAAGGATGGCAAGAGGGCGAGGTCAGCTGATCTGCAGAGGAGAGAGACATAGCTATTGATTAACTCTGTCTACTGTTTGTCAGTTTAAACTATGGGTGTGTATGTGTGTGTGTGTGGCCTAGCATTACTATACTTGTGGGGACCTAAATCTGTTTACACAGTCACGTGTGGGGACTCGCCTCCCTTATGGGGACAAAATGGAGGTCCCCACGAGGGGAATCATTAATTTTAGGGTGAAGACTTGGTTAGGTTTAGGGTTAGGGATAGGGTTAGGGTGAGGCATGTGTTGGTTATGGTTAGGATAAGTCTCCAGGAAATGCATGTAAGTCAATGTAATGTCCCCTGAAGTGATGTATACATGGTATGTGTGTGGGTTAGGGTGCATACTTGTCCTTGTCCACCGTACTGCTCTTGTCACTGTCGTTGATGATTGACAACTCGTCCAGCAATGACGTCGACTCCCTAGTGAACTTCTCAAAAACCTGACAACAAATAAAATGAAAATAAACAAGCATGCCTAGACCATAGCAACAAGCTTACCTAATTGGGCAATTAAAATATCAAATACACACGTTTATCTCAAATGAAATACTCACCAGTCTCTTGTTCAGCCAGTCGTTGTGGTCATAGTCCAAACTTCCTCCAAAGTCGTCCGTTAGCTGGCACGGTTCAATGTAACGAGTCAGCTTATTGGCCGAAACCAGGATCACCTGACAGGAAAGAGTACAATTAAAATGTTGATCATTAAGTGTAAAAGCGACAAAACAATACAAACACAGCATGAAAGAGTTTATGACGTGACAGATTAGCAGGAAAACAATCAGATATTCACAGAAAGTATGACTGTAATTTATTAAACATCTATATAATTTAGTGATTTGTGAATATGTGTTTAATCTACACTGTGAAATTAAATAATAGGTTTGAAGGACAATAAAAAACAAATCCAATTCTAGATATAGAACCTTTTATGGAAATGTTTTACTTCTCAGAAGATCCCTGTGTCCTATCTTAAAGGGGACCTATCATGCAAAATGCACTTTTGTACGTCTTTTATACATGAATATGTGTCCCCGGTGTGTCAGGGAACTCACCAAGTGTCAGAAAACACAACCCTCTCTCTTTTCCTCCGTACCCAAATCTCTAAAAACGGGGCTGCAACGGAGCTTATTATTATTTGAATTTTTCTGACGTCAGAAAAGGTGTGCTCCGCCTATATGGGCAACTCTCCACCTATCAGGGGAATGAGAGACCGCTCGAAAGCGCTGGAGACGCTGTAGTACATATGCCAGGCCTGTAAGTGGCGCTGTAGTCTGCCACAAAAGCAGAATCAGCCCTTGCAAAAACAGGGCTGGAAAAGAGCAAATAGAGCGAAATGAGGCACGGCTAAAATGCATGATCTGTTTGGCATTTTGAAAAAGAAACTTCACAGACATGTTTTATAAAAGGTATGGCCCTACAATATACGTTTCAAATATAGCATGATAGGTCCACTTTAACTAATGGTTTACATATCAAAGGTTTTTAGTGACCTCTACGTATGATTCATTCTTCAAATGATTCATATCTGCCCAGATATATTAATATTGATGACATGTAGGGGGAAATCTTTCAGAACCATTCTTCCTGCATGATTTAATATACTAACACATATTTAATGTTGGATGGGTAGTCATAATGGCTAACGTTGGACAATGGTTGCTTTTAAGTCTGCAATTTATGCTTCCTTGCCTCTATGTCCTCCAGCCAAGTGACCCAAAAACTGAGGTCTGAAATCATGTTTATGGGGAAACCGCTTCTTATTATGTCAAACTCTGAGACGCCCAGACGCCACGAAGGATCTATAATTGGTGTAATTGGAGTGGCAGTAATATGGGTGCCAGTAGGGCTGGGCGATATGGGCATCATATGAAATCACAGTTGTTTTCTTAGTTTTGACATTTGATATAAAAATATTTGAACATTTTTAGTTTTCCAGCGCAGATTTCAAAGTGTAATGACACAGGCTTTTATGTTGCGTTGTCATGAGATATTGAAATCCAATTGGAGTGTTTATTTTCCAATTGATTTGTGTATTTGATGTTGCTATAGTAAAAATCCATACTTTAGCATGAATCTATGACTGTAAAACTTAAAATTCTGTATTCCTCCTAACCCTAGGGTTCAGGTCCTTTTCTTTAACACTGTTACAGATATATGAAGGTTGAGTGCTGCTGTGCATAAAGAGTCCTGTGTCTACAAAGCAGTTCCTTTAGCGGCAGAAAGAGTCATGAGGGAGGTGAGGATCCCATGCATGAAGCTGTAATGCACCTCAGGCACGTCACCTCTGGAGCGCTGCTATTGGCCGGTTCAGTATTTCAGGAAGGGAGACATAATTATAGCCCCTTGTTTTCTTAAGACCTAGGAGTCACTGCAGTCAGCAATAAAGAAGCACACAGAGACTCCTTTAAACTCAGTTTCTTCTAGTTCTTTCTAGGTTTTGACATGTAAAACAAAGGTTAAGTGTTCTTCTTTCTTAGATGTTTTATACCAGCTGTTCATACCAGTGCTGATCACAGATTTATTATCTAGAGTTGCTTCAGTCTACGTTGCAGAATAAGTTATTGGCTCACAAGACAAACTTTCTTGTTGTTTCTCAGAGCAATTCTAAATCTGGACATAGAGCGTTCAATGGTCATGAACAGCCGGCGAGTTGATCTGAGGTTTTACAACAAAAACAAACATCTAAGTTTCCCTTAAAATTAAGGCATTTAAACATACTGTATGTTTTTTTCCCTTCATATTATCTTTACTTTGAACTGCACTTGTATAAAAGGTTGCTTTGCAAATAAACTTGGATAGTCAGACAGCTGGCAGTGAGCCGGTTTCTAGCTGTCAGCAGATGCTGTCACAGGAATTGGACTTGTATGCGTGTGTGTTTATTTAAATGTAAGGTAAGACTTTAGAGCAGCTGTATGCCACACACCCCTCTGTGACATCCACACACACACACACACACACACTCCATAGTTGGGATGAGTCACATTTCAACACTGGAATCTCGGTGTGTGTGTGTGTGTGTGTGTGTGTGGTGACCACTCAAACTGATTTAAATAACAACCTCAATCTGAGCACATGATTGATCACATTTCATCTTTCAAAAGATATATATCGTTGAATTAATCATAAAACTTAACATTAACGCTTTTGATTACTTTTGTACCGCTACCTTTTTTTTAATGAAATTAAATGTTTCTCTTTTAAAAAGGAGTGTTTAAAAAAGCTCTATATAAATAAAAAGTATTATTATTATTATTATGTCCTTGAAAGCACCATCAGGGACAGTCTTCGTAACAGTCTCTGCTCTCAGCACACAATGAGAACTCTACATTGACTTGAAATGAATAAAGTAATCTAAATGTTGCCTGAGATGGATTATCTATAATGAGCAGCAACTTTCAAGTTGCTTCACACCCACTAACTTGCTCCAGTTACCGTGGCAACAACTATTGAGCCAACATGGCTGTGGAAATCTGGGTCACAGCGACTCCTGATCTCCGTCGGTAAAACCATCTGTTGTAATAGAGGAGGCGGATTTGCCGACAATCACACAGACACACACACGGACACACACACACACTCCATCGACCCTGGCTCAGGTTTCCAGCAGCACTCAGGACAGTTAATGGTGTTCAAGGTTATCATAACTGGCTCACTCTGTCTCGGATTGATATCAAGTAACAAATACAATTCCGGTATTTGTGTGTGTGTAGATGTGTGTTTGGGTGTGTTGGACCAAACAGACGGTCTGTTTGTCTCTTAGGTTGTATCAAAGCTAGAATAAGAACTGGGTTCTTCAAACTGCTTCTCTCCATGACAGCAGGCTGTTCATCTCGCCTTCAGTGAGTCTGTTCAGAACTGCAATAAAACACCAAAACGTTGCCAAAACAGTTCTCAGCAACTTGTTAAGACACGGGAAAAGCTGAAATAAGTTGAAAGAAGCATTGGAACAAATGCCTATTTTGGGTCAGGCTTGTGTGCTTTTCAGCATGCACCTGGATTCAGCCTGTGATAATATGAAAGACATTTAAAAATATCAGCTCCACTATTTCCATTTATGTATATCCCAAAGTAGCAAACTTAGCTGCAAAGAATTCAAGTAGTTGTTGAGGTTTCACATCTGGATATAAATGACAAACCAGCCCGTCGCTGGCCTAAATGTCATACTAGCATTCCTGAATCTTTTTTATTAGATAGTGTATATCTGGGATGTCACAGCTTGTAAAACACTGTGGAAACACAGAGACAAACCTCACACTCAAGCCTCACATTGGTTAATAAAAGTTATAATTATTGATGGCCCCATGTTGCATATGTTTAAGTCCCAACGGTCCCAACAGAGGGAAAAGCAACCAAAACAATTTAATGTTGATCAGAGATACTTTTCTGACTGTACCTGAGCTCATTACAGCTATAATATATTAACAAATGTTGAAAGATGTTCCACAGACTGGGAAAACCTCTGAGAATGTGCCTTTCGCAGTCTGGAAAAACAACACCACAAAGACCTCTAACTCCTATCAGTTACCTCTCAACACGAGAGCAGGCGCTCAGTGAATGAAAAGGAAACTTGAAACAGTATAGCGTAAACCAGCTCAGAAACTCACCTCAAAGCCCAGGCGGTCTTTCTCTTTCCAGAAGCAGAAGTGCGTGACCTTTTTATCCCAGAATTCATCTGGCTTCACCACGCAGACCAGCGACACCTCGGCAGGGATCACATTCTGAAACAACATCAATAGCATTAGCATCCTCAGCTTTAAAACATCCCGATAATGTAATAAAGTCATTTATTGGATCCATATTATGGGTTTGTACCTGCAACATGAGCACCACAGTCTTCACGATGTTCCACTGAGACTTTCGTCCGTCCACGATAACGGTGAAACCTCGAGCTTTACACTTTACACTGAGAGAAAACATTTTATAATACAAGGATATTAATTAAACTATGAAACACACACACACACACACACACACACACACACACACACACACACACACACACACACACACACACACACACACACACACACACACACACACACACACACACACACACACACACACACACACACACACACACACACACACACACACACACACACACACACACACACACACACACACACACACACACACACACACACACACACACACACAACACACACACACACACACACACACACACACACACACACACACACACACACACACACACTTTCTTGTTCATGCAGTATTTGGGTTGCCCATGGAAACTGATTTAAAGTGTAAGAGTTTGTTTGTGTCTTCTGAATGTGTACATCTCTTACAGACTTATATTTGTCTTGTTTTTATGAAGCCCAGTATAATCTAAAGGCGTTTTAAACAGCTTTGATAACATGTTCTGGAAGAAAAACATTCCTGACAACGCATTAACGAGTTTGAAAAGCTTGCGTTGACATTTTTACTGCAGACATTTAACATAAAGTGAATCATCTGACTAGCTGCCAAAAATTACGACTGCCAGAGCCCGTCATGATGTGGAGCTCAAGAAAAGGACTTAGGAATACAAACAACCAGAGGCATCGTTCTGACAACAGGAGACAGAGAATGTGTGTCACTTGAAAACAAAATATGTTGTGATTTATTAGAAGTGTTTTATAGTTTCATTTGAGAAAAGTCTTCAAAAGGATGCAGCCTTTTTGTCCCCGACAGGACTAGTCTGAAAGTGTTGTATCCTCAAAAAACAGCTGTTGGAAGGGGAGGGGTTATCTTATAATCAGAGTCCCCTCATATTAGAGCCAATACGATAAAAACCAAGTTGTGATAATCTGGAATCATCTTTTAAGCCTTTTACAGTTACAGAGAACATACTGGATTTAAACACTGCGGCCAAGATACAGAGAAGATCCAGCAGCTCCTCAGTGACAGGAGGTCGACTCCAAACAGTTCCAGAGACATTAAAACTGAGATGAAATATTTTGTTAACAGAGACTTACTACCAGAGTGTCACTGCCGTGTGTGTGTGTGTGTGTGTGTGTGTGTGTGTGTGTGTGTTGTGTGTGTGTGTGTGTGTGTGTGTGTGTGTGTGTGTGTGTGTGTGTGTGTGTGTACCTGGGGATGCTGAGCAGGTAGTCCAGTGTGGCGCTGAGCTCCTCCATGCTGGTCTGATCTGAGCTGAGAGGGATGGTCAAGATCAGACCACTGCGCCGGTCTTTCCCCCCTAAAGAGATACAGAACACCATGAATTAAGTTTTTTAAGACACCAATTATTGATTGAAGCAGGGTATTTCTGTAAATAAAAACAGGTTTGAATTTTGGAACCGATAACATCTATGCTTTTTCAATACATTTAGAGTATCTGACGTCCCAGCACTCTGGATCTAGGGGGATCTTTAGATCACACATCGAAAAACAACCCTTCAGAGCCACGATTGGAGTTACACCAATAATATAATACTAACAACATGAGTGAAGCCTTAGCATAATCTGCAACTGTTCAGAAATACCAGCTTTAAATGGAATGAATAGAAATGCAAAACAATTGAGAAAAGATTTGAATGTTGTGTGTATGTTTTACCTGACAGAAACGCCAGCTTCTTCTTGAGGAGGGGGAGCATGGTGGTCGCTTCCGCATTTACCTTGGACATCTGACACACATACAAAAGGCTTCTTAAAGGAAAGGTTTACATTTCTTTAACTATCAATTTAAGTGATCATATCACAGTTAGAAATGCCAGTGTTAGTTACTGCTAAGATGCAAATACGTTGTAGGTCAAAAGGAGTATAGCAGCCTTATAATAAGAGATACATAAACTATAAATGGGTCCCTAATACACACTGTAGCAGCACAGATAAACCACAGTCCCCAGCAGTGGTATTATAGGAATATTATGTAGAGCTCAGCTCAGTGATTTTCCATAAGGATTTTCTGTCCTCTGGCACTTCTCCCAGCAGATCAGTCTGTTTCATCAGAGCCGTCAGTGAGTTTGCATTTCTGTTGATTTATTGTGATTTTAGTGAAATAATCATCAGATTAAGTGGTGATGAAATAATTGTTAGTTGCAACTCTAGTTTGAATTTGAAAGCAATGCAGAAATGTTTCTATTTTTACAGATACGTATGTTTCTGACTTCTCTCTGTACTTGGTTTGAATTACTAGTGTTTTCATTTGTATCATTCAATAATATAATCTGGTTTATGAACAGTATAGTTTCTTATACAACGCTCTGAAAGTTAGAAGACAGGCGAGCTGTTTTCCCCTGTTTTACGTCTTTATGCTAAGCTAAGAGCTTCATATTTAACAACAGACATTTAAACCTCTTTTTGTTATACTTTATTTCTTACTATGTGCTTGATACATTATACATTGTATACGTGTATACTTAATGTATTTAATTATTAATAATATAAAAATCCTAATCTTATCCTGACACACTTTTGTGTGACAAAGCGATTGAAGCAGTGCATGTTAGATGATTTAGCACAAATCAAAAACTAATCCCCTTATTTGGAGTCCATGGCCTTCGTGTTTGTAGTGTTTCGTTTTCCAATCATTTTTAAAGCTCCGTTTTACTTCATGCCTCTGAAAACCAGAGTCAAACAAAAGTTGCCAAAGTGTTGTTTATTTCACAAAAGTAAGTATTTTTGTGTACGTCCTCTTCTCAATGAGTTTAAGTGTCTGATCTTTTGAAAAGCTTTTACAAGCTTAAAATAGTAACCTCCTATTAAGTTACAAGCAATGCAGTCTGTGGTGGGCTAATGCATGTGTTTTAGAGTAGTTTATGTTAATTATTATAATTCTGTATGACATACTTGTTTGTGCTATGTAGGAACCTACTTTGTAAAAATAATGACCTACATTAGGAAACATAATAAACTCTCTTAAAAGATGTCACATTATAAAGTGCAGCAATCACTATTTAGCCATGTTTAAAATTAAATATGAGGAGAATCGTTTACTTTATGTTGCCCATCACATCTGAAGAGCCACACCCCCAGAAGAAGCAGAGTATTTTAGACTTAAGTTATTATTTATTAATAACAAATGTTTTTCCTCCAGAAAGTTTAACTCTAAATGTCACTTTTCTGGTCAGAAACATTTGATGTAATAGCGAATACACAAATCCAATAGAAATCCACGTTTTCATGGAGTTAAATATTTCGTAATGTTTACTTATTTGAATTGTTGTTTTTGACTATTCAGCTAAACTGAAATCCCATTATTTGGGACACGTTCCCATCATCATCCCTACTCCCACATTAGTAATAGGGGAATATTGGAAGTATTTAGGATGATGAATGACCCCCACTGCAGCACCAGTCCTGCAGCAGGCTTCATCCTCCTCTTCCTCCTCTTCCTCCCCAGCCTGCCTGCGGCCTCGCTGCAGCTGCAGGACGGCCCGGTTGGGCTCGGTTGGTCTCGGCCTGGTTCGGCTCGGCCCACAGACACAATGACCTACATTCAGCAGCTGCGGGCTGCGGGCTGCGGCTCAAACCTCCCTCACCTTAAACCTCAATCCACTCCGTATAGACAACTTTGGGATCCATCATCTATCAGCATTGATCAGTCGCATTTTCTTACCTTTCAGTCAAATCTGCAGCATTATCCTGTCCCGATTTTTACTCCACGTCCTCCTCCTTTTTTTCCCTCCCGTGTCTCTTCTCCTCCCCAATAGCTCTTCCTCTCCTCTTCCTCCCCCTCTTCCTCTCCGTTTTGGTTTATCAGGAGATATTCAATCTATTTTCAATTGAACACTGAAGACATCAGTTTGCTCTGCGTTGGTTTTGAACAACAGTGGAAACACAGGGAGCAGGCGGTTGGGTTTGCTGCTCTGCGCAGACTCAGTAAAGCTCATAAAAAGAAGACGACTTCCGGTCAAGGGACATTCAAAATAAAAGCTTGAAGGTTTCTTAACTTTTGCTTTCATTAAAGGTTATTTATAGAAATATATCAGAGCTAAATTGCATTTACATTGGCTATAATTTTGTTCCCACTTATACTTACCATGATTTGTAATGTTTATAGATAGGCAAATAGATAGACAGACAGACAGATAGATACTTTATTGATCCCAAATTGGGAAATAATTTTTTTTCAGCAGCAAAGTGTACTGGCATTACAATCTTAAAATTATTATTTGTATGTTTTAATATTATGACTATTTCAGTCTCTTTCCATACGTGACTACTAATACAGCACAATAGTATCTTATTTTGTCAATATTTCAATATGTCAATATGGGGTAGGTAAGTTTGAGAAACCGGCTCGAGATACACTTTTTGTTATATTCCATGGAATGCTCTTAACATCCGATAGCAATGAATATCTTAAGTGCTTTGACAAAAAAATCATCTGTGGAAGCCGTAGTACTGTAAAAAGCACGACAAATCATTTTAGCCGGCCCGGCTAAAATAACTGGATGGCCTACCTGCCTGTCAGCCTTCTATCTGTGCACAAACTTATCTCGTGCCCTCATTGGTCATGTGCGCGTTCGTGTGTGTTGGAGGAGGGGCTCTGTAAGGAAGTGGCAGATTTTCTCCGGCTGTGTATTTTCAAATTCTAGCGCACTCGAGCTGGTTTCTCCAAAATTACCTACCCCACCTATGAGTATCCATTATTTCATAGCTTTGTAGGCCTCTTATGTTTATGTGTGGTAAATGTTCTAAAAAAAATCAAAGGCTTTAATGTGATATGCACAGTAGCTACAGTGTAGAAAGGGCAATGGAAGTCCCATAAAATAAGTCCAAAGCTCCTCCCCTAAATGATCTAAATAACCTACCTTAATAATAATAACATACGTAGCATTGAACATTTCACAACATTTACAGTTAATTTTTATGTATAAATTAACTTAAGGAGCCCATGTTATTTTGTCAAAAGTGTTCGCTCCATTTTCTCTTTTTTTGGTTAAAAATGTGTATTTTTTATTTTGGAGGCCGAGTTGCCTCATTTCCGGTGAACACTGCTGGCTTCACGAACGCTCACGGAGCTGGAGTGGTACATCCGGGGCGGAGCCAGCGCGAGACAGGCCCTGCCCTGTCCAGTTCAGACTGCTGAGGCGTTCAGGTGCAATCAGAAACTGCAGAACCAAACTTTCAGGATCAGATTTATTTATTCTAATAAAACAATTAACTTTGAATATGAGTCCCCTAAAAACATAAAAAAATAAAGATGTTGATTTAATGTACTTTGTTTATTAACGTATTCATTGCATAAAATATTTACACAAACTTCATCGTACTGATAGAAACAAAAACATTACAAAATGTAAGTTTTATAATGAATTCTGGATCTCTTAAAGTGGCTTTGCTACTGCTGCTGCTGCTGCTGCTGCTGCTGCTGCTGCCACAGGAGCAGCATTCATCTTGTCTTCTGGAGTCTGTACAGAATGTACAATCAAATTAACTTTCACCTTAAAGTCATGTTTATAATGTATATATTTTTCAACTTAGACTAGTTGCCACATATATGTCAAGTGCACAGTAAACTAGATCTACATGTCCATTTAAAGTTAAGGCTAATTTGAATGAAAAAAACGACCCAGCATTCTGCAAGTCTACATTTTCAACAAATCTTTTCAACAGTTTCCTCCTTTGTTAATTTTTGCAGCAATCTCTCCCTGTATGCAATTAAAGTAAATTGCAGTTTACGTGTCAACTGTAGTGTGTTATCTTATCCATTGGTGTGTTTTGAGTCTTATAGGCGAGATGTGCAGATGATCTCAGGTGCCGTAGTCTGGTCTTTAGCTAATTTCCCATCATCAGGAGGCGTGGAGGCCCATGGCCATCGGAACCTGGAAGTCATGAGGAGAGCTGCATTATTCAGGCTGAATATACACAATGATTTTCATCCTGCGAATGTTTTAATATAATATATACAGTATACATGTAGATCCTGCATCCTATATTTTTGGGATATATTTTTTTAAATATATACATTTAAACAGCCAGTCTTTTAATGTTCTAATCATGTGTTGTGGGAGCTAAGCTGTAAAGATTAAAGCCCTACTGGCATTGTTTTTTTTCTCAGTGTTGGTAGGCCTACTGTCTTATCTGCTTATTTTCCCAAAAAGTATTAAATAAAACTAACCAACAAACCTACTGGCAATTAAACCTTTTCTGATTCTGAGTCTTCTGATATTGCTTTGTAGATGTGTATTTTCTTTCACTTTATTTCAAAGACCAATAAGCCTATTTGTAGACTACATTCTTCCAATGTTAAACACATGAAGACTCAAATGACTGTGCAGACTGACCGCTGTACGGGCGGCATCTGCTCAATGGTGTCGATCAGAGGCTCTCTGAAAGTCTCGGGCAGGAAGAAGCAGACTAGAACACTGAGCAGCGACAGACAACTCACGATGATCCACGGCAGGAACTGATTGAACACAGCTGGAGACAAAACCAGACCATCAGTGAGCTCATACATTGTCCCATACAGACCTAAATGGGCGTTAAAGGGTCACTTTATTCAAATCACAAAAAATCAACCAGATAAAACCAAAGAATTTAGATTTATTCATATTTAACTGAGGTTACCTGAAAAAACAAAGAACTAACCCTTTAAAAGAGGCAGGACAGAAAGCATCACAAGGGCAAATGTGGATAGTGTAACTACGCTACATGTTGATTTATTAACAGATGGAGTCTATGTAAAATCAGAAATTCAGCACCTGTGTAGCCCAAATCGAATGATCCTTTATTTCATAACCACATATTAACACCGCTGCTTAGGTTTTACAATGGAAGCAGGATCAGGCTCCTTAGATTCATTTGTGTATTCGTTGAAAATTCATGGACACCCCTAATATACTCTATAACCTCCACAGTGTGATGTAGTTGAAGGTCTCACCCAGATGCAGCAGGTATGGGGAAACAGAGGAGCCCACTCTGGAGAACATGGCACAAGAAGACAGGGCTGTGTTTCTGATGACTGTGGGAGACAGCTCACTAGTGAATATGTACAACACAGCGATGCCGGCCAGAATCCCAAATTTACCCAGCAGCACCAGTGTCAGGGTGATAGCTGGATTACCTGCAGGGAAAAGGGCGCTACATTATTGATGAGGGTAAAATAAGTTATTGTATATATGAACCAATTGACTGTTAATTAAACTCCTCCCCAAAGTTATTTCTCAATAATACCATAACTAGGCATTGCAGGCCATCAAGAGTTGTTTGTCTTGAAATGTGTGGTGTGCATGGGGCTGAAATAAAAGGGATGTTTTGTACAGTGTTGTTTAAAGCCTTTTAAATTCCACCCAGCAAAAATGCAAGCAATACAGTAAACCCTGCTTACATGTAATTGTTACATGCTAGAATTGGTGAACAGGTTTGTAAACAACTCTGATTTAAGAGACCTTAAAGAATTGGCGTTGCACATTTTTTATGAGGAATGAAATACATTTAAAGGTCCCATGACATGGCCATTTCTACTGATCATAATTCCATTGTTGAGGTATACATTGTTCAATGTTCCAAAATCACATTGGTTTTCTCATACAGCATCTCTGTATAGTATGTGTATTCACTCTCTGTCCTACACGCCTTGTTGGAGCTCCTGCCCCCCCCTCCCTATGAGCCCACTGCTCTGATTGGTCAGCTCGCCCACTCTGTTCTGATTAGTCAACCACCGTTACAGCGGAACATCAGTGTTTATGTGTTACAATGGCGTTTGTTAGCAACCAGAAAATGACACCAGTAATGACAAACAGATAAGAATGCTGCGTGGGGTCTGGGTGCCATGTTGGCGGGACTCGCTGCTCCACCCTTTGAGGCTCGAGGAGCGGACAGTGTGAGCTGGATTACTGGTGTCGTTTCCTGGTTGCTGCGTGGGGTCTGTGAGACAGCGAGACACCGCGGAACTCAGCCTGAGCACACAAACACACTCACAGCTCCCCAGAGCTGCGGCTAAGAAAAGATAAGGCTGAGTGAGTGTGTGTGTGTGTGTGTGTGTGTGTGTGTGTGTGTGTGTGTGTGTGTGTGTGTGTGTGTGTGTGTGTGTGTGTGTGTGTGTGCGTGTGCGTGTGCGTGTGTGTGTGTGTGCGTGTGTGTGTGTGTGTGTGTGTGTGTGAAGATCCGCACAGCACGGCGGCTGAGAAAATATAAGGCTGAGTGAGTGTGTGTGTGTGTGTGTGTGCGGAGCCGTTACGTCACTATGACCGTTACGTCACTATGACCAGCAAGAAAAAAATGGAAAGAAAGAAATCTCCAGCGAGGCGTTCTGGGGCAGCATAGACAGGTATTTTCTGTGTTAGAGTTTTGCTCGCTACAGGGTGTACTTTGAGGGTTTGTGACTTTGCAGACCGTTCACATGCAGAAAAAGCTACATAGCACACAAGGAGATGGGTAATAATCGGAAAAGCATGACATGGGACCTTTAACACATGTGTCAGACCTAAAGGAAAAAGCGTTTTGGTGAGTAACACTGAATGTAAACACTGAATGTAAACATATTTTTTGCATCAGCAGTGTAGGAGCTTGTGCTGGTCCTACTCACTGTCCAGAGTGATCTGAATGAGAAGCAGAGCTAGCGCCCCGAGCAGGGTGAAGCTGATACAGGACAGACGGTGAGGAAAACTGCGTGCCACCAGCCAGCTGGCAGTGTATGCTGGGAGCTCTACAGCCGTTAGCAGGATATAGTTCAGGAAGGGGTTGCCATAGAGAGCAGACATGTTGAAGGACAATCCGAAAAAGCTAACATTTAAAGAAAACCTGCAAACAACAAGAAAACAAGACTTCAGTGTTCACACCCCCTAGAGGCTGAAGTCTTGGTCCCAGCAATAAGATTACAGCAACAATATGACGTGTGGACAGAGCAAACAGGACACTGTTAAAGCTGTAGGTGTGGTGGAGCTAAAATGTAATGTAAGAATTGTCCTGGTTTGTCAAGTGATAATAACACAGTCAATTATGTGTAAACTGCATCTAGTTTCTGGATGGGCGAACAAGTCCACTTTGCTATTTCTATCGCGAGCAGCACAGTAAGTAAGGTCTGGAATTTCAGGCTCTTGAAATGTAAAAGGGCTTTTACTTACCAGATGATCCACAGCATTAGTGTAACATTTCGAATGTTTGCTGTCTTCAGCAGGTCCAGGATGCTCGGAGACTCTACCTTCTCACTTGTTTCTTTTTCAACCTGAGGAGAGACAGAAACTGCAGTACAATGTCCATCATAGATCATTTTGAGTAGAATAGAGCTGAGGTTTGAGGTTCTTACGTTAGCTGGGATAAAGATGACATATGGAGCTTCAACACGGTTATGCAGAGCCGCTGACCTCAGCAGGAGTTCTGCTTCCTGGAAACGACCACGAGATACTAACCAGCGAGGGGACTCTGGAATCAGCCTGGTGGACAGATGTATGAAAATGTTTTGTTAGAAAGGACCCAAGTTCACTCTGGGTAATCTATCTGTGTGTTTTACAGACTTTATCAAGCTCGCTCCTAAACACAGGACATTAACCTTGTGCCTTGGGCCTGGCTTTAAGTTTGTTTTCTTAGTATGGGCACAACCACGCTTGAACTGGGTTTTAAGGTTCCCTTTCATCAATTTGACCCAGACGAATGTCTACTTATCTTATATTAAAAAATGGTTTACCTGAAAACTGATTTATCAAATGGTTCACAAGCTGTAAATATATCTTGATAGTTAACTGAGGTCTTACCACCAGAAGGGGAGACAGGCCAGGCCGGGCACAGCCATGGTCAGGGACAGGTGTCTCCAGCTGCTCACCAGGTAGGCAGTGACAGGCAGCAGCAGCATAGCACTCACGTAGACGCAAGGCAAGCAGAGGCTGGAGAAGATAACTCTCGTCGAACCCATCAAGAGCTCTGAACCTGTGAAGGAAATGTTTCAAATGAGTCAGGCAATGACATTACTGTCCACAATGGACTTTTCTTTTGTAGTTTTTCAGACAGCAGTCACGTTAAGTGGCCTGCTGGCCTGATTTATTTTTTTATATGTATTGTGAACGCAACGCTGCGCAAATGTGGGTCTGACTCTGCCTCACAGAGGGTGACTGGCTGTCTACATGATGTGGCCTGTCGACATGGCCACTTTCATACAGATCATACATTAAAGCCCTCGATTGGTCTCTGTGTGTCATTCAAGCTCGGGAGGGTGTGTATGTGTGGCGTGAGCGAGCGAGAGAGAAAGCGCGCGCACCGGTTACGTGTATTGTTGTTGTTACCATCTGGTGCTAGCTAGCGGCGCTAACGGATATCATGAGCTGTCAACAAGGTGGAGGAGAGTCCTCTCCTGTCAGACTGAGAGACTGATAACCTCAGCTCAGGTGAGGTAAAGGACTCTGAGTGTTTAGATAGTTAACTTAGTCTAAGTTCTCTGTGGGTCTCAAACGGTTTGGTCACCATTTATGTAAACACATATTTCCATTTGAAGGGGGAGTGATTAGTAAAATATGCATGAATAATACAAAATAAAATGTTAACTACGAGAAAAAAGGTAAGATAAACTTTATAAACGTGTTGAGAGCTAAAACTAGTCTTTGCTGCTGCCTCAAAGAGGAGCAGGGGGGAGAGGAGGGAGACATGTGAGGCTGGTTCAGGAGCCCAGACACAATATGCCATGCTAACTATAAATGAACCAAAAACAAATAAATAAACAAGTTTCAATGTTTTTTCATATTGGATATGGTATGTTATTGGTTATGGCCATGTTCTTATGATTTTATGATTATTTAAATGTATACAGTTCTGTTTCATATGTGTGTTGTCTCTTTATTTCCCCCTCAAAGTGCACCAGATTGATGCATTTAAGTCCAACATTTAAAAAAAAAAATCTTACCGGAGGATCATGCCCCCGGACCCCCCTAGAGGATTTCAGGTCCACCTCCACTTAAAATATGTTCACATGGATAGGTTCCTAGATTTGCACAGCAACGCCTAAATAGATTTGCACAGCAACACTGTATATTGACAAATAAATCCAGGAAAATGGCACAAAAGAAAACTGGTAGTGGCCTGGCTGGGTGTATCATTCCTGGCCTGACTTATTGTCCCAGTCCGGCCCTGGCAGTCACAGTGTAGTAATAATGAAAAAGCCATACCCAGTACAAACGCAGCAATGTAGCTGGTGATTTGACCCATGCCCAGCATGAAGAAGAGCGCGATGAAGACGGGCCATGATGGCGCGAAGGCCACAGCGCTGCTGAAGAGGCTCAGCACGAAGATGGCACCAAACAGAACAGGCTTCCTGCCAAACCTAAAGTACAAAGAACAGAGACAAAAGTACAAACATATTGGTGGTTGCTAGCACGATGGTCGTCTTAGTTCAAGGCAAATTATGAAAGCTTAATGTTTTTGAATTTGCATGGATATGTATCTAGATTTCAGGACGGTCAGCTAACTCAACTTATTCAACTTCTTCAATTTGTTTCGCCATTGCTTCCTTATTCATGGAGTGGATAGAGATAGCATAGCTCAAAGTGGTAGCATAGCTAAACTTAGGCAAAACGTTCTACATCTGCTAACTCTGCATCAGCTGAGGGGAGCGGCAAACACAGTAAGATAAGATAAGACTTTATTCATCGCGAAGGAAATTATTGAGCCAGAGTAACTGTTTGAACTGAAAGTGCAAAGTACCGGTCAGAGATCTGTCCAGAGATGAAGCATCCAAAGAGTCCTCCTAGGAAGTAGAAAAGCGAGGTCAGAGGCTGTTTCCACTGGTCACTGCACACCAGGTTGAACTGGAAGACAAAGCGACATGTGGAAAATATGCAGCAGAAATGTAAATATAAACTGGAGTAAAACTGCTGGAATCAACACCGAAATACTTGGAGAACACAGAATAATACAACAAACTTTTTTTTAAAAACTACTAAATACTACAAAAATCTAAAGAGATCCGCTGGTTACAATTACCTCATCTACTGTATCTGTGCTCAATTGTTCTGTTCCTGTACTGGTTATTCTGATTATCTTCTGTATGTCCTGACTCTCTTAAGCTTTAGAGTTCGATCTAAGCTTCTGAACCCCTCTTTTCTCTCAACTAGTTCTTCCTCTGAGTCCTCTCCTCTTTCACGCAAGGTGCAAGATCTTCCAGTGTTGAGCTTCACAGATTCTGATCCTTCAGGAAGGATACTCTTAGAGACAATCCCTATTTCTGATCCTCTCAGAACTGCTCTATCAATGTGAGTCTCTTAAGAGGGAGGTTTCCTAGTGTCCATCTTCTTTTAGTGCGGCCCTCTAACATCCATCTTTTCAGATGCTGGCAGTTTTCCTCAAAAGTCTTGCATCTCTGAGCACAGCCCATCAGCACCCATCTACTTTAGGCTCCTTAAGTGTCTCTTTGGTAACACTAATCTGAGAGATGGTCCTCCAGTGTTCGGTTCTTCAGAAGGCTTTCAAGTTTCCTCCTTAGCACGCTGCTGGTTTGAACAGCCTCAAATGTACTTGGTTTTGGTTTCATCGGCTTGTCAATATTTGGGTTTTTCTCCTCTCGGTCATCATGCTGAGCTTTTACTTCCCTGTGCAAATGATTAGTTGCCCACCAATGATATCTCTATGCCTCACATATAGCTGTTGATGTCCTGCTTGCCTTTAATTTCTGTTTTTTAAATGTTCTGTTCTAACTCAGGCAGTCCCAGCACTCTAAAAGACCAATACAAAAGTAATAACAAACTGCATACTTCTACACACTTGCGAACATTTGCTAGATGTTCTTAAAATGTATATTCCGTTAACTCTGAAAGCTTTTCAAAGGACCTGACTTTGAAAAAATTGCTTTTCTTAGGTGTTGATGAACATGAAATTCGACATCTAAGGCAAATCAATGATCCGAGGCCACTGAGACAGGTCACCTATTACTGTTTTACAGACAGAATTGACTGATACACATATAACAATTTCGAAGTCTAAACATTAACAAACAGACGGAGGAAAGTGGTGTTGGTGTAAATTCCACAACATCAGTAGCTCAGTACCTCGCTGACTACAGTAGACTCGTAGTGCTCTGTACTGTAGGTCCATCCGTCTTTACAGCCCTCCCTCTTCAGGCTGGACACGAGGACTTCTACACTGGACTGGTTAAGGATCCAGTTCAGGGCAGGTTTGCCTCCGACCGCAGACAGGTTCTGCACCAGGTCCAGCTCATACCGGCTGCAACTGCTCCTCTCCAGCCGTCCTCCTGCCACCTGCTGACCAGGAAATCATTATGTCCAACTTGTTGCAACAACAGGAGGTATGCTGCACTCATTCAGATCAGTTTTAACCAGACTGGTTCTGACCTGCACAGGGAGCACAGCCCTAAAGCTGTATAGTAAATAATTAGCTGACTGCGTTTCCAAATATTAGAAAATCCTTAGCTTGTACACAGAAATCTGCAATGTTGTGTCTCAGCATTCAACTAGATAAAACATTTCATTAGTTTAGCTACAAATGATGTATTACCGTCCTGCAGAGGGTAACATGTGGAACTGATAAAATAGATACAACTTAATTTTATAACAAGTTTATTTATCAAACAAGACACATTCAACCAACTCAAAATACTTAACTTTAACCTGAAAACAAAGCAGCGGCATGCTAACATTCTAAGTAAAGACAAATTTGCTAGCTTTGTATTAAATGGAATTTGTTTAATCAGTTTAAGCCTTTTGGGTAGAAAAAAATGCTTTAATTGCATTAAAAGATAATAAATCCATTGATTAAATAAAGATGGTAACATTTAAATAATGAAAATCACATGAATCCATCATTCTTTTTACTTAATTAAAAATCTTCGGAATCATTTTGATCAGGCTTGTTTCTGACCTGCAGTGGGATGCTGGCTTGGATCCAGTCCTGGCTCAGGTTGCTTTGGGCGGGGATGTGGCAGTGGTGTGATGGCTCGGCCAACAGGAAGATGACGGACAGGAGGTTGTATCCCCCTGGGATTGAGGTGAGACAGAGCAGGAGGAAGACTCTTTTCTGGAACGGGCCCCAAGTCCCCAGGAACGACACTGACTCCTCGTAGTCCTGCATTTTCCTTACTTATACTCTTTTCTGTTTGACTCTGTAACTACTTGAGTAACTGACATTCACGCTGACTGTAAATGCACAAAGAACATACAATAGTTTTAAAACTACTTTTCAATATATAGCTACGACTGCCAAAGTACTGCTTTTACAATATGTGCCAAAATGACAGATAAATGGGCATCATTAAAACATAAATATAATATCCTCTGTTACTACAAGTACAATGACTGCATCTCCCAACTATAAATAGTACAGTAAGTACAAATATTTGGACTATGTGAATACAAAAAGGCGTCTTATACTCCTGTTACGGCAGTTGTTAGCTTCTCTCTGCAGGATCTCTCTGAAGATTTTAAACCTCATTTATTCCAGACAACACAAAAAAAACTCCTCCTCCTTCTCCTCCTCCCAAAGTCTGAGCTCATACTACTTGTTGCAACTCCTCATGTTTGGAAAAAACTCACACTTTACAGATAATAGACAGAGAGAGAGCAAGTTGGGAAGAAACACTGTGTCTCCTTTAAAGGGTAAACGTGAAGCTTATGTGACGTGCTTTTGAAAAATATACGTACAATTGTTTCTATGTTCTATTTATGAATTTGACTTTTGCAGATTATCATCAAAAATAGAGTTAAAGTTCTTATTATTTAAAATGTTGTAGAAATAATTATTTTGAAAATGTGTGCAAGATTTTCAATGTATTAATGATCAAATCATTTCCTGAGAGGCTGACGGTTATTTTCATGCTTCAATTGAAAGGTCAGGAGGAAGGATTCCAGGAAATACCTTTGTTTTTTACATCACTAACATTTCCTGTTCTCAATTGACTTCTGACAATAATCTGTCCTGGATGTGATTATCTAACACAGGGGTGTCAAACTCATTTTCATCTCAGGCCACATTAGCATTATGGTTGCACTCAAAGGGCCGGTTGTAACTTTAAGACTATATAAAAATACATATGTAAATATTTAATATATATAAAATAATGTATTATATTACATGATTACAATAACTTCATAATTAATTAACTACGTCTGAAAGTCTAGGGCAAAAAATGCAAGTCTCCTCAGTGAGAATGTCACAAAATTATTTAAAAAGAAAAGCCACATTCTGGAAAAAAATTAAAATAAAGTAACATTTTGAAAAAAAGTAACATTATGGGAAAAAAGTCAGATTCTGAGAAAAAATGAATATTTTGAAGAAAAAATCCAATTTTGAGAAACAAGTCAAATTCTGAGAAAAAGGTCAAATTTAAGATGCATTGTGGGACATGTAGTTTATGGGTGACGTGCTTCTGTAAATCTGCATGTAACCGTATAATAAACATACTATATTCTTTGCAAGCTGTTGTGGGCCACATTAAATGAAGTCACGGGCCGGATTTGGCCCCCGGGCCTTGAGTTTGACACCCCTGATCTAACAGAAAGTCAGCCATTGTGTGTGTACTGCATGAGTGTGTGAGTGTAGTAATGTTTTACAGGCTCATGATCGGTGTGAACTGGATGTTAACACGGTTCGTCAAATTTTAACATTTCAAGCCTGATCATTTATTTCTACTGTGCAGGGGACACCGGTTTTAAAGTAAATGATTAAACAAGTAAAAAGATTCAAGTCCAGTCCAGATTTCTCTTTGCCTGTCAGATAACATCCGCAGTACCAGTTTGTTCAGGTCAGACTAACTCAGTGTTTTTATTTCTCTTCAGACGATGTTGAAGCTGCATTCAATGACTTATGGTAAACCCCCCAAAAAGTGTATTTTACTTTCTTGAAGTGACTATAAGACCAAAAACAAAAACATCACAAGTCTGTGTTGGAAACACAAATGCTCCTTTGATCATTCTTATCAGCAACGCATGCAGACTCCGAATTACTAAAGGAGGGAGGAGGATGTGAGCGAGCAGTTCCCATCAGGCCTTAATGTCTTATCCATCCAGGGCTGGGTGTACAACATGTTTTCAATGTGTCGCTGGGGTTCGGTGGAAGAGTTACTGTTTTGTAATTATGTCGGAACTTCTTTCCGTTGGGGAGTGTAACAGATTGATTGAACAGGACATTTTAGGTATGAACTTTGTTTGCATGACACTATGTTTGATGTCAGCACAAATCAAATCAACATATAAGGACTTTTTAAACACCGTCTCTTGGGTTTTTTACATTTGATCACAAACTGTTTACGGCTAGTTTGAAACAGTTCTGTTTTTGGCTGTGGCCAACCAGATAAAGATTAAAGAACACAAGCACTCTTCATTAAACCTTTTCTGACTCTTACTGTGCATGTACTCTGTATCGGTGTTGAATCCTTTCTGTAGAAAGCTCTGTTAAACATGCAAAGACAATCTCTAATCTTTTTTTCTTTAAAGAGGATATGATGCTCATTTTCAGGTTCATATTTGTATTTTGTGCTTCTACTGTGACAAGTTAACATGGTTTAAAGTTTTTTTTTCAAACTGGCTGTGCTGTAGCACCCAGTCTGCTCTGATTAGTTAGCTGGCCAGCTCTGTTGTGATTGGTCAACCATTTAGAGATGTCCCGCCCCTTAACTTATCACGTACAATGTGTTGGGTTGGAGTGTATAGAGAGGTGAAGTCCTTCCCTTTCCGGTGGACCTCCATGGGACCTTGGCTGAAGTCGAAGGTTGCATTCCAATAGTCCATTTAGCTTAGGAACCTTCCTAACGGAGTGAAATGACCCGGAAGTACGTCCCTGGCAGCCATGATAAGTGCCGTTCCAATTATCCAAATGAAAGGAAAGGAGGTTTCAAACTTCCTTTATAACCTCCTTTAGCTTAGGAACCACTGGACCTCCCTAACCGTAAAGGAGAGGAGAAAATGCTGCCCCACAATGCATTGCAGCCGCAGCATTTGCCATCACAACAGTCGGCCGTTCACGGAAACAACCGATTATGACTGAGAAATTATATCATGAAAGTTACGGTGCTTATTAAGCATTTTAAAACGTATGTGGTAAGTTGCCAAAGTGCTTTTTTCTGAACGTTCATCAGTATTATAATCAAAAAGAGAAATATGAACGTTAGTTTTTACTGAAATGATCAAATAAAGTCAACATCTCACAGTCTTTACTGAGCTGTGTGGGGTTTGTTCAACTTTTAAAAGATGTTTGAATGGTGATATACACAGTGATAGATGTTAAGGACTAACGTTTATAATAAATACATTTATGATTTTAAGATATTTTCATACAATCATACGTATTGGGATCATTTGTATTAATGTGGACCGGAGGGAGAGGGTGACGAGCATAAGTTTCACTTTCCTTTTTTATTTCAATTCCAACTTTGGTCATGAAGAATATGTTTCTCTGTTGTCCCCGTTCATAAAGCATAAAACAACAGCATCAGAGCACGGTGCAGAGTCTCTAGATGAGTTTACAGTAGTCCCTCGTTCTTATTAAACATCCATGTTGTAGTCCGCTGTATAGAAAACTGTAGTTTCCATAGTTTCCCCACAGCAGCAGACGCACATTCATGACGTCCGCTGGCGCATCATAAACACGTCGGATAGTGAAAGTGCATTCGGATTCTCTAAAGTACCGCGGTCTCTTCTCCTAAGTCCTTTTGAATTCTCCTATCCCCTATCCCTTAACCCCGTGACGTTTCACTCAGAGGTCAAGGAATAGGAGATAGGGTTAGAATTTAGGAGCTGATTTTTGGATTATCGGAACGCAACCGAATAGTCCATTTAGTTTAGGAACCTTCCTAACGGAGTGAAATGACCCGGAAGTCCCTCAGTGGCAGCCATGATAAGTGCCGTTCGAAAGATGATAGGAAAGGAGGTTTCAAACTTCATTTATAACCTCCTTTAGCTAAGGAACCACTGGACCTCCCTCACCGAAAGGAGAGGAGAAAATGCTGCCCCACAATGCCTTGCGGCCACAGCATTTGCCGTCACACAACATTCGGCCGTTCACGGAAACAACCGATTATGACCGAGAAATTATATCATGAAAGTTACGGTGCTTATTAAGCATTTTAAAACGTATGTGGTAAGTTGCCAAAGTGCTTTGTTTTGAACGTTCATCAGTATTATAATCAAAAAGATAAATATGAACGTTTTTACTGAAATGATCAAATAAAGTCAACATTTCACAGTGTTTACTGAGCTGTGTGGGGTTGTTCAACTTTTAAAATATGTTTGAATGGTGATATACACAGTGATAGATGTTAAGGACTAACATTTATAATAAATACATTTGTATTTATTTTAAGATCTTTTCATAGTTCATACAATCATACGTATTGGGATCATTTAGTGGGATTGCTGACACAGCATTCTAACTATCTGTTATGCTACGCACGAAATTCTTTATTATTCCGCCGGGTTATTTTGCGCTGCTTCTTCTCCCACATTGAACATCGCAGAAACTCTGTTCAAACATCAAAACGTTCAGCTCGGTCGGGAATCAATGGCTGTTACTTTTATCATTCATAACTTTCATAATTCCAGAGATACATCCCATAATACATCCCATTTTTCGGGGAGGACAGATTTAATTTTGCCTTCATATTTTCTTTTAAACCTGCCATAATTCCCAAACCCTACATTCCTGAGACTTTCATGACAAACATAGGAAAACATCTTGTAGCTGGAAAGACAAAAAAACAATTAAGCAAAAATAATTAAACAAAATGCCTCTTGAGGGCATGAAGTGACAAAAACTTTCAACATGTCTCCATTAAACTCCATTGTAAATTCAGCCTCACCTTTCCCCAACACAGCAGCCGCACACCTTTAGTTAATCTGACAAAAAGGCCACATTATTAACCTGAAAGTACACAAAAAGTACACTTCAGATGCTCAAGTTCCTTGACACATGTCAACAGGTTTATAATTCAGAACAATGAAAATGCTTTCCTCTCACTAATCACCATGGAAACCTTTGATCTCTGGACAAATATAAATATAAACACCTGTGTCATGGAACACGATGATGTCATAACTCCAATTGACATAATTAGAACAGCAGACTAATGACGTGGTCAC